GGAGCGTTGCCCTATACACCAAAAGGCTGTGGGTTTGATTTCCTTTCAGGGCACATACCTCAGTAGCAGGTTTGATCCCCAGCCAGGGCACATAACAGGAGGCAGCCAATCGACGTTGCTCTCTCACATCGATGTTTCTCTCCTTTCCTCTCTAAAATCAATAAACACACCGTCACATGAGAATTAAAAAAAAAAAAAGTCATCAGTGTTTGAGGTATGTGTTAGAGGTAGGTCTTAAAATCATGGAAGGATGTGATGGAATCACTTAGAGAAACTGAGAAGAGTGAGAACAGGACCCCTGAGACTGGAAAGATTCAGTCAACACTGTCACTGCCTTCTGGTTATCAAGTCCTCCTTCAGTCTTATGTTTTGGGCAAAATAAGTTTAAGCTATCACTCCTGGTCCCATTTTCCCTATCTTTTTCATTTCTACTTTTCTCTCTGGGTCAGCCACAGTCTGCTTAATCTGGGAAAATGTGGAAACCCTGAACAAACACGCACCTGTGGTAAAGCGTATGACAAATGGTCCAGACGACTTTCAACACAGCAGCCAGAGTTGCTTTTGACTTTGTACATACAGAACACTGGGGGTGGAGGAGGAAAAGGAGGTAAAAAAAAGAAAAGTCAGCTTAGGGCCAAGGTCTAAAGTGGTGCTGTCCAATATGGTAGCCACTAGCCACATGTGGCTGTTTAAATTTAATTAAAGTTAACATAAAAAATGCAGTTCCTCGCTTGCATTAGCCACATTTCAAGTGTTCAATAACCACATGTGGCTAGTGGCCACTGTATTGAAAAGTGCAGATATGGAACATTTCCATCATCGCAGAAAATTTTATGAGAGCCAGACAGCATTTATAAATGTTACCTTTCTCCTGGACTTTGGGAAGGCCTCTGAAGGCTCCCTGAAGAGCGCACATGAGGGAGAAATTGAAAGTACGGCAAGAGCAGGTTGGGCAACAGCAAACTATTCTAGATGTAGAAGTGAAGGAGGTTACCAAGAAGGCAAACAATCTGGAGGAAAGACAATGGTAAAAACCAATTCTTTATGCTAAAGCTCATGGGGAAGTAGGAAAGCCACAGAAATTTTAGTTGTGATGTCAATACTCTAATAAAAGACAGTGACCACCGGGACATCAGTAGTGAATGAGAAGATCCCAAGTCAGAGTCAAGTAGATATCCTGGTAGCATGTTGTATGTTTTCTCCACCTACTCAAATAAAAAAGGTTGAAAGGGTGCTGGCTGAGGTTGAGCCCAAAATGGTGTGTCAGGGCTAGGAAATCAACTTATTGATCTCTTGTTTTTGATGCCTAGTGTTCTGTACCTCTTTGATACTAGGTATTATGTACAGGAGGAGACAATAATCAGCAAGAGTGGAGGAACCAAAAAAGGCTGTTTGGAGTTGGGGACAATAGGTAACGATTTGTAAAAGTCAGGAGAGGTCTGAGAGGCATTCAGTGGAGATGGGACAGTGTGCTGTTTGGTGGAAAGAGGGTACCTAGACACATGTCCGTTTTCAAGTTGTACTTTGAGCTCTCCCCATCTATTCCTTGAGGGCAAGGACCATGTCTTCTTCATTCAGCTTTGTGTCTCCATCATATAACACAGTGCCTAACACCTAGTAGGAAGTCAATAAAAGTCTGTTGAAGTGCAAAAGTTCCAGCTTGATATAGAGGGCAATAAGAAAACTTGGACCCTGACTGGTGTAGCTCAGGGGATTGAGCACCAGCCTGCGAACCAAAAGGTCACTGGTTTGATTCCCAGTCGGAGCACTGCCCAGGTTGTGGGCTGGGTCTCTTTCCCGCTCTCTAAAAATAAATGAATGAAATCTTAAAAAAAAAAGAAGAAGAAAGAAAACTTGGAATTTCTTTTTAGCTTAACTCTATTAAAATGTGAGCAGAATATAATGATGAACATACTTGACTGGCAGTGTTCATGATGCATGTGCCTTAGTGTCATGAAGGTGATTTCTTAAGTAACACTTCTGGGGAAAGTATACTCAAAACAAACACGGTCAAAGTTAAGCTGGTTTTTTAGGTCTTCTTCTAAGAGTCCATCTCCTCTCAACTCTCCAATGACTTGAGTTTTTAGTTAAAAAAAAAAAAAAAAAGGAAAAATGAAGACTAGAAAATGAGGTTACTGGGAGTGGGGAGAAAAAAGTACAGTGAGGAACGGGGCGGTACAACTCTCAGGTTTCTGTCCTCCAAGGCCTTGAATGATAACTAGAACTTCCTTAGACTTAGCCTATCAGACACATAGTAAACTTTAGGAAAAAAGGGGGGGAGGAGGAGATGAAGAGGAGGAAGAGTTCACTTATGAATGTGATGGAAATGGTTAGAATTGAACACCTTACACACAGTGCTGAGGTAAATTTCTAGGATGTCAGGACAGAAGTCATAGTACCCAGGGGGTTGATGCCTCCTCTCGTCACCTTTTTCCCACCTCCAGAAAATGTTTAAGCAGCACAGGTTCCCCCATTCAAGTAGTGGGAGAAATTCTCAATTGGGCTGTGGAGTAACAGAACTCTGGGGACAGGGAAGCCTCCACAAGGCCTCAGAAATAGTTCCCTGGAAAGGACCAAACCCAGGCAGGCATCATTTAACACTGTTTGGCCCCAGAGGCCCAGAGTCTTAACACCAAGGACTACGGGGGTTGGCTTTTAGCATCCCACCCACGCCACGTTCACCCCTTCTGACTTCTAGCTTCCTTCTCATGCAGCCAAGACTTCAGGAGGCTAGCCTGTTGTCCAACCAGACAGGGAAAGGTAAGGGATGCTTCTCGCATCAGGAGGGGATTTAGATCCAGGCCTCCGGCTTTCTAGGTCTTTTTCCTATGGTCCCTGCGGAGCCTACTGTCCAAACTCCTAGATTCTTAAGGCTCTCCCTTGGGCCTTGAGGCAGGACTCCCATTCTCTGTCTCTCCATCTCCCTGGAATTTTCCACTGCAGCTGCCTCCGCTCCCAGACACCCCTCCCTGGGCAAAATTCCCGGCTCCCTCCGCCTCCCCTTTCTTAATCACACCTCATTCCCACCCTCGGCCCTGAGGCCCAACCCACAGTCCCGCTCACACCCGACTCTAATCCCGGTGGTCCCAGTTAGAGAAATGGGAGGCCAGACCCTTACGGAGGAGTGAAGGAAAGAGAGGGTCCCAGACTATTTCCAGAGCGGGCAAAGGGCAACGGAGGGGCTGGTCCCCTGTGGGGCTAGAGTGGGGGGAGTGGCCCTCCTCAAATCCCCATATAAGGCAGGGCAAGCAGTTAGGCTCCTGGATTGGGCGATTCAAATGAGCATTCCACCTGGCAACAGAGTTTCTATTGGCTCTCAGGAAAAATAGGAGGAAGGTGGATGGAGGTTGTTGGTGGCGGGGATTGGAGGGGGGAGGGGAGTGGAGGTGACCGGAGTGGGGGGCGGTTACCAGGGCAACAGGGTAAGAGCCCAGCAGGGTGTCCGAGACAGCAGGCGGGGCTGGGAGGTGGCGGGGCGGGGGGGGGCGCGGAATGGAGAGTGGGAGGGAGAGGAAAAAGACTGACGGGGAGTGAGACGGGGAGGGTGACACCGGGAGACGGGGCCGGGGTTGGGCGGGGGGGAGCTGGTAAGAGAAGAGGGGAGAAGGAGAAAAATGAAGCAAGGGAGTACAGAGATGGAGAGGGTCAGAGATCGCTAAAGACATCAGCAAGTGAGTCAGGGAAACAGATTGAGAGATGGAGATATCGCAGAGGAAGATGGACAGAGTCCGGCAAGGAAAAACCTGGGTGGGGCTCCAAGATTTTTGAGGAAAGGGAAACTGAGAAACTGATACAGAAGTCAGAATGAGAAACTGGGAGGTGTGTACACCACGGGATCAAAAGACAGTGTATTTCAGCACTCAAATACTAAATGATGATTGATCCAGTCTGTCTTTTTTATTAAGAAAATGACGAGTAATGATAATGATAACCAAATACGGGAGTGCGTACACCAAAGAGACCTTTTTCCAAACCTTGGCCTTCCACCCCATCCACACTGTGACCTTTAATACACACCCCAGCACCTGTGCCCTCCTGAAACTCCAAGCTTCTCAAAATGACCCAAAGATACTGAGACTGAGGACCAGGAACTGAGGATGTGTGGAGTGGGGTGGGGCTGAAACTCCAGACCCCAACCCTTTGCAAAGCAGGCACGCATACTTCTGGAAGGCTGGGGAAGATGGTAGCAGAGGAAAGAGGAAAGAAAGGGAAAATTGTGGAAAATAATGATATGAAGAGAAATTGAGGAAAATCAGCTAAGGATATAGGGCCAGGTGACAGGCTCTGATGAGACAAGAACGGTGTTGTCTGGGAGAAAGAGATATCGGAGGTGGAAGGACAGAAGAGGGCAAATGAGAAGAGCAGAGAGGTGACAGAAATATAAGAGGGACATGTAATATAAATGGTTGTGAGGGAGGGGTCTGGGTAGAGATGCATGAGGAAGAATGAAGGGAAATAGAAGGACCATGAGAAGAAAAGCGAAGTGAGATGGGTGAATAAGAAAGGTCAGATATTGAACAGAGGAAAGGAGGCTGGAGGGCCTCTGACCCCCTCAGAGCACGAGGAGTCAGGAACGGTAGAACCCAGTAAGGGTCACAAATGTCACCCTAGGGCAGGACAGAGGGTGCGTTGCCCTTGCTTCCCCCATTCCCTCTCAAGGCCATGCAGAAAATGCAGATAGATGCCGGATGAGAGGGGAAATCCAGCGTGATGTGGAAGTAGCTCCCCACCCTCTTCCTCTAGTTTAAGCTTTTGGTTTCTCAAATACCTGCCCAGCCTTTCCCTCTGCTCCCTTCACCATCCCCAGGCAAAATCTCAGGGCTTTGGGGGTGGGGGCGTTAGTAGGATTCTGGTCATCCCTCCAGCCCGCCCCCAAAAGACAGACTCCACATTCATAGGCAGTAGGTCGGAATTCGGAGAGGTCCCTCCCCGCAGGAACCCCACCCCTTCCCACCTCCGCGCCCCACTCCTTTCTCCGCGACCGTCAGTCTCTCCATCTCCCCCTCCCGGTCTAGTCCTCCCGCCTCTCGCGCTCTCCCTCCCCTCGCTTTCATCCTCCTATCCCCACCTCTCCAACCTCCGCTTTCATCCTCCTCCCTTCTCTTCTCCTCCCCGCTCCCGCCTGCCCCACCCCTGGGAAGCCCCTCCCGTCGGGCAGCGCCGCCTTTATAAGCGGTTTCTCTGCCCGGGGGCGGCAGCGGCTGGTCGGCGGCAGCTCTGCGGGTGCGGGGGCGGCGAGCTGAGGACTTAGCGACCGCGGCCGGAGCGTGCCGGCCACCGCCCGCACCGCCCTTCCGCCCACTCTCTGGACGGCCGCAGCCCTGCGGGTCTCCACTCCAGACCCACCTCCGCCCCACCCCGCGCGTCTCTGCCGCCTCTTCCAGAGACCCAGCTTGCTGAGCGGCCGCCACTGCCGCTGTCGCCGCCGCCGCCACCGCGTCAGGTTCCGGCCGCGGCCACCTTCCGACGTCCAGGGCCCCTCCGTCCCGGCCCCGGGACCCCGGCTCCCCGCCAGCCCCGGCCCCGGCCCCGGCACCATGTCGGAGAAGAGCGTGGAGGCAGCGGCCGAGCTGAGCGCCAAGGTACGGGCGGGGACGGCCGCGGGCTGGGCCCTGCGCGACCCCCAGGCTCCGCACGGTCGTGCGCCCCAGGCCGCCTCCGACGGCCCCACGCTGCCCTGGCGCAGGATCCCGGCCGACCCTTATCCGCCCTCCCCCCGCTCCCCAGCCTGGCGCTGCCTACCCAGCTCGGCGCGCCGCCCGCCAGCGCCCTCTAGCCTCCCGAGTGCCTCTCCCGGCTCCGCTCGGGCCCAGCCGCCGTCCCCACCCCTCTCCCGGCCAGGCCCGCGCGCATCGGTCCCGGCCAGATTCCCGTCGGAGCTCTCCGCGGCTCACTTTACCTGCTCCCTCCCTCGCGCTCCTCTGCCCGCGGCGCGTTTCCCAGTCACTCCTTCCAATCTGACCTCACCTTTCCTCGGCTGAGTGGTAGGAGACCCTCCAGTGTAAACAGTACTCCCCCGGGAGACTGCTCCTCTCGGCCCCTCCCCTCGAGGCCCGACAGCTTTTTGCTTCTCCCCTTGGACAGCTACTGCCTCTATTTTCTCATTCTCTCCTTTCTTTACGGCTATATCCATTCCTTTTCCCATGGCCTTCAGCTGTCTTTTTCTCTCCATAGCACCTCTTCAGCCTCATCCCCCACACTGAAAGAATCTTGGGTCCCAAAAATCAGAAGCGAGGCTGGAATAGCCTTCGAAAGGGTCTCAGCTCAGTATTGCATGGCCTTGCATGGAGCCGTCCTTGCTCTTGTCAGCTCCCATTCCTGGCCCATCCGTTTTCCCTTACCTCTCTTCCAACCTTTAATTTCTCTAGGGAACCTGCTGAGTGTCGCTTTGGGAAATTAATTTGGCCAGGGCTTGGGGGCTGGGAGCCCGACCTTGGGGGTGGGGGAATTGCTGAGGAGGTCACAGAGGCCTCCTGGTGGCCTGTGAAGTGATAAGGGGGAACCCGTGGGATTAAAAGCAGAGGAAGAGAGGGGCTATGTGGAGATCTGACAAGGTGTGCCTTGTGGCCTTCTGGTGGGCTGTGTGGTGGCATGTGACTTCATTGAGTAGGTGTCTTTGTATGTCTGAAATTCAGCAAGTGTGTGGGACTGCCTGTGTCAGTTACATGTGTGCATGTGGAGACATAGATGTTCTGGAGCCATGTTGCTGCTTTGTGACTGAGTGGCTCTGCTGTGCTCTTGTGCTGTCTGTCTCAAGAGTGTGCCAGAATACCCAAACACCAGGCCATGTGTCTTTGGGTCGCGTGGGTGCGCCTCTGTAGCTCTGTGTGTGCGCTGGTGTCAGCCTGTGTCAGTGTGTGTGCCTGTGTTGAGTAAATGAGGCCAGAGAGCTGGTTAGCACAAGACCTGGGTCACATACCCTCCTGGAAGAGGGATCATGGAAGGACAGTGACCAGAAGGACAGAAGAGGGAGGAGAGGGCCCGGCCCCTTGGACTTTGGTCTCTGGTAGTCCCCCGCCCTCCTTTTCACACTCTCTCCCTCCCCCCATCAGCCCAGATGGGAAACTCAGGCCAGGGCCACACAGACCTGGTGCTGGGGCCCGGAGAGAGGCTGACAAGCCCCAGCCTCTCCAGACCCCGCATGGAGGGGAAAGACTACCGGGTATTAGAAATGTCATACCTACCATGTGGCAAAGAAATGAGGACAGCCAAGTGACACGAAGAAACCTAGCTGGAGTGAGAGCATTCTATGCTCCCCTGAAAAGGAGAAGGGATTTGAGTGTCCCTCCAGGCCAACCTTTGGCACCAGCCCTCCTATCCCCAGTCCTGTTCCAGAAAGGACATACCCTCCCAGGGTGATCTACTCACATAGAAAACTTCCATCCACATGGAATCAGATACGGAGTTGCACCCCAACACCGGATCAGATCATAGGGAGACACTGTCGTTCAGTGCTTGCCAAGGGTGGGAAGAGAGAGGACTGGAATCAAAATTTGAAGGGCGGGTGTGTCTAAGAGGGGGGACTCTCAAGCATTTCCTTGTGCCACATCAGAAAAGGACATTAGGCCCTGGCCGGTGTGGCTCACTTGGTTGGAACATCGTTCCGTGGACTGATATGTCACGGGTTTGATCCCCAGTCAGGCGTGTGTGAGAAGACAGCCAATTGATGTTCCTCTCTCACATCACTGTTTCTTATCTGTCTCTCTCTCCCTTCCTCTCTCTTTAAAAAGCAATAAAAAAAAATCATTTTGGGTGAGGATAGAAAAAGAAAAAGAAAAGGATATTAGGGTGTGCCTGCTAAGATCTTGGGGTGAAGAAGAGGGGCAGTGCTGAAGGAGGGCCCTGGAGACAGCTATTTTCTCCGTCTGTATTCCTGTCCCACCCCAGACACAGAACTTGTCTCTCCTCATCTCCCATGACCCACACTCTCACTTCCATTGTTCTTTTATCCTACTTGACCTATATCCCCTGGAAGTGGTTATTGCTACGTTTCCATCACACCATGAACATTCCACAGGCCTTAGGGAGGAAGAAACTACTTGAACTTCTTTTTGCAGGGGGGAGTGGGAAAAAGTGAGGGTGCCAGGAATCAGGCTAGGGTGCTCTCCCCATTCCTGTGGTGTTTGCCCAAGTAGGAGCCTGGGGACTCTGGGAAGAGACCCACAGACGGAGAGAATCAAAGGCTTGGGTAGCTGGGAGAGATGCCCAGGAGAGAGTACCAGGAAAGGGCCCAGGGTAGACAAAAGGCAGAGCTGGGCAGGCGGCAGGAGGGGTGGGGCATCAGGGCTCTGAACAGATGGAGGGGATTTGCTGTTGCAGAGCTGAACTCTTCAGCCAGTGGGGCTTGGGGGAATTTGATGGGGATGGTGAGCAGAAACTTTGGCCACTTAGTTCCCTTTCCTCATCACTTTTCATCTTCCTTGAGTCTTGGGGGAGAAGGTGCCTGGTTTCAGCTCCTCTGGCCTTACTGGCCCTGGGGCCGGCCCTGTCTGGGTAGCTCAGTTGGTTAGAGCGTTGTCCCCATACGCCAAGGTTACAGGGTTCAATCTGTCAGGGCATATACTGGAAGCAACCAATGAATGCAAAAATAAGTAGAACAACAAACAGATGTTTTCCTATCTCTCCCCACCCCTAAAATCAGTAATTTTATTTTCAAAGAGGACCCTGGGACCTCTCCCCCGCACTGCTGTGACTCTAGGCTGCTGTGGCTACCGTCTCCGTTTCACACTCCTCTAAGCTCACTGCAGAGGGAGAACCGGGGCTACAGGGACTGAAGGGCTGCAGATCATTTGTGGTGAGAGAAAGGTGACCTCTTTCCCTCTTGCAGGACCTGAAGGAGAAGAAAGAGAAGGTAGAGGAGAAGGCGAGCCGGAAAGAACGAAAGAAAGAAGTGGTGGAGGTGCTGAGGGTCGGTTGGGGGTGTGACCGCATCTGCCCACCATCCCCCCGCCCCTTGTCTTCCTGGGAGGCTGGGTCCTGTCTTCCCTCTTGAGTTCTCCCATCCTCCTTGCCTCACCTTTTGGGTCCTCCCAGCGCCTCTTGCCATTGGTGGTGATGGTGGGTGGAGGAAAACAGCCAGCCTGACACTGCTCCCTCTTCTGGTCCCCAAAGGAGGAGGAGAATGGAGCCGAGGAAGAAGAAGAAGAAACTGCTGAGGATGGAGAAGAGGAAGATGAAGGGGGAAGAAGAAGGTGGGGAGGGACAGGGAACAGAGTCAGGGTGGGTTTGAAGACCTGAAACAGGGCTGAGGGCGCCCACAGGGGGTCTGATGGAGCTTCCTGCTCTTCCCCAATGACCCATTTCTGGCTCCTCAGATGAGGAAGAAGAAGATGATGACGACGAAGGGCCCGCGCTGAAGAGAGCTGCTGAAGAGGAGGTTTGGGCTGGGTTGTGGGGCCTGAGGGGCTGTCAGGGATGCAGCAGGGGCTGGGACCCCGTTGGATTTGGACCCAGGTCCCTGTGGTGCATGGGTGGGTGCTGGAACAGGGCAGGGACAGGGGGAGGTCCCTCTCCCATTTAATGTCTCTTCCTCTCCACAGGATGAAGCTGATCCCAAGCGGCAGAAGACAGAAAATGGGGCATCAGCATGAGCCCCCTGCCAATGGGCTGGGGTGGGAGGCCGCCAGGGCCTGGAGATGGGGACAGGGACAGATGAGTGCAGCCACTCTTCCCCTGGCTCCTTGCTCTGAGCCCTGCGTCAGAGCTGCCACCCTCTTCCCCCCAGCCTTCTCATGTCCACCTCTCCAGACGTTGCCCCTCCATCTTCACTCTGCCGTTTTCCGTCTCCTGACCTGTTCCATCTGAGCTCCCCGCTGGTCCCCAATCGCCCCTTTCTCTCTTCTTTTCTCTTCCTTTCACCCCCGGCCACTCCCACTCCTCCTCCGTTAGCCTCTTCTTCCTAACCTCTGCATCCGAGCCTCCTGTCCTGTCCATCCCTACCCTGCCTGATCCCTGGGTCTCCCTCAGATCCCCTCCTTTCAGACAGCGCCAGGCCAGGGTGGGGCCAGGGTTGGGACCAAGCCCCACAGCTGCCCCCCCCTACTCCCCTTTTTGTATAATTTAATAAAGAAATGGTCGCGCTTCTGTTTTTAACCTGTCTCCTGCTTTCCCAGGGCAGAGGGAGGAGGGTGGCTCTGTCACATTCTGTCAGGACCCTTACCTTCTATAAAAGGTACCCTCCTACCATCCATCACTCCAGAAGGCAAGGCCAGCAGCACCCCAGGGGTGGGCATGGAGCACAGCTTCCTTGAGAGCTGACTGTTGTCCGGGTTTTGGATTCATGGAGATGCCTCTCCCCAGCAATACACACATACTTCCCTGCTAGCCCACACCAGGTCTAGACACTGCTGAGCCCAGTGGAAAGCTACCAGCCCTATTGTGCTGAACCAGGCAAAGAAACAGCCTCAGAAACAGGAAGTCCCACCCCTGCAATGGGAGAGGGCTAGGAGGCCTGGGTCTCAATTTTTGGGACCTGGAGTGAGAGTTCCCTGGCATCAGAATTGCCCCTCTGCCTGGCACAGAGGAAGTGACCAACTGGTTTAAGTGGAGAACTGCAGGGCCCCTTGCGGTACCCGGGCTGGCTGCAAGCTCATGGCACCCACCCTCCACCACTCCCTGCTGGGCTGGCTCCTCAGGCTGGATGGGGTGAGGAGAGAGAGCTTCCCTCTGGAAGTCTCAGGCTTCCTTCCCTAGCACTTCTGCCTCAGTGTTTTCTAGAGTTTGGTCTCTGTTGCAGGGTTTTTGCATTTCTCCATATCACCCTTGCCAATGCGGAACCTCTGGGTTGGGAGCAGACGCTGAGTACACGGGGGTCTGAGCTGGGCCAGGATGTGTGTGACTCATTAACGCCACCATTCTTGTTAAAAGAAACCCGTAATTCATCCAGGGTCAGGATGACACACAGCTTTTGCCTTCACACTCCATAACTGGCCTCAGCAAATTATTTAAGTCTCAGTTTCCTCATCTGTACAATGGGATAACAGATTTCATGAGTTACTGTATGTAAGGTGTCCAATCCAGTGCCTGGCACGTACTGAAGGCTCAATACAACGTAGCTATTCTTTTCCCTGGGATTCAGGTGCCCTTCCCCAGACCTACCATCTTTTAGGGTCCAGTAAAGCTTCCTGTGCCTGTTATTCCCAACAGTCATTGGGTGGGTGGGGAAGGCAGGCCTACAGGAGCACTGAAGTTCTGGGAGGTTAAAGGAATGAGGGAGGGGGTGAGAACCAAAGAAAGGGCTGGCCAGGAAAAAAGTGAATGTTGGGTCTGATGGGAGGCAGCTTACAGGTGGGCAAGCTGGTAGTTTCAGGCAGGAATGGTTTGTAGACAAAGGCAGAGGGTCTTGGGAAAGGGAACAGTCAGGAGGGTGGAGGAGGAGGGTGTGGAGGGGGGTGGTGGGGACACCCAAGACTGAGGAAATAAACAAGGGGAGTGCCACCACAGATGTGGAGGGTAATGCTGCTGGGAATCAACCCCCTCAGACTTTCCACTGCGAAGCGAAACCGTGAGCCCTGGGGTGTGGGGGGGGGGGGCAACGCAGAGGGGAAGTGGGCAAGGTGGAGGGAAGGCAGAAGGACAGGGGCAAGGGCCCCGGGAGCAGCAGACCAGCCTCCCAGCTTGAGACATCCACCTTGCCTCCGCTCTGCTCTTTGCCACTGCCCTGCCCCATTCCCTGGGACCCCCTAACCTCCCCCCCCACCCACCCCTGATCTGGCCAGCCTTCCTCTGGATTCCAGCCTCAGGTCATTGGTTCCTCCCCTCTCTTTTCAGGACTCTCCCCTGTCCCTCTTCCCCCAGGTTCTCTTCCTCCACCTTCCACTTTGCAGAACCTCCCTTTCATCAGGCTGTCTCTCCCCACTTTCTGACCTCTTCCCTTTGGAGGGCTCATTGTGGCCCGCGCCCAGAGGGATATGGGGGAGGCCCAGTTCCGCCGGGTCTGGCTGCTTCTGCCACTGCTGTGGGTGGCTCCAGGTAAGGCGGGGATGACCCTCTGGGGGGGTCCACCTCCAGGCACACAGGAGGGGGTCAGCAGGGATGTCTGGATGACTGCACAAAAGCCAGGGTTCTCAGTTTGGGTGGATCCTCCGCATGCTGTGCTTGGGACAGTCCTTCAGCGCCAAAGCCTCTCTTCAGGCTCCCCCTTGGCAGGGAAGGGGCAAAACCCCCTGGTCTTCCTCAGGCTCCTTCTCTACTCCTAAGTCAGTTGACTCACGGCCCCTCCCCTTGGGCTCTTCTTTTCCTCCCCAGTGGAGGCACCAGGACCTGGGGAAGAGATCCCGGAGGTGTGGGCCCAGGAGGGAGCTCCTGCCCAGCTTCCCTGCAGCTCCACAATCCCCCTCCAGGATCCCAGCCTTCTTCGGATAGGAGGGGTCACTTGGCAGCATCTACCGGACAGGTATGCACCCTGACCTTGGGCAACAGAACTCCCAAATCCAGCAGCAATGGCATCCACACTCACAACCCAAGACTCAAACCAGACCCCGGTCCCCTCCCCTGAGCTGTCAGTCCCTCTAAAGCCAGTGGCCTGCCTCCCCTGCCACTAAGCACCCTAAGTCCATCCTCTGAAAACTGCTCCCCACATCCTTGCATCTCCTAAGTTGCTAGCAGGGGACGGTGCTGGCCCAAGGCCAGGGCGACGGGGACAGTTAGTGATAGGAGATCTTCCCTTTGGGTGGGCTTCCTTATGCTCTAAGTGTGGTGGGACTGCATCTCCCCCGAGACTTCTTTCCCTTTAATGTCTCCATCTCTCTCCCGTGCCCAGCCGGCCACCGGCCCGCGGCTCGCGCCCCGTAGCGCCCACCCCCTACACTGTGCTGAGGCGGGTTCCCGGGGGCCTGCGCAGCGGGCGGCCGCCGCTGCAGCCCCGCGTGAAGCTGGAAGAGCGCGGCTTCCAGCGCGGGGACTTCTCGCTTTGGCTGCGCCCGGCCTTACGCACCGACGCCGGCGAGTACAGCGCCGCCGTGAACCTCAAAGACCGAGCCCTCACCTGCCGCCTCCGTCTGCGCGTGGGCCAGGCCTGGGGTAGGTGGGGGCGGGGCGAGGGGCGCCGGGCTGGGAGGAGGGCGCCCAGTTCCACGCCATCCGGAGACAGGAAGGGCTGGGCCGAGGCTGTGCTTCTAAGGATGCGCCCTAAGCCCTGACAACGAACCCCCAGAAGAGTAGGGGAAGGGGGTGGGAACCGGATTGCTAAGTGGAAGGTGCCCCCAGAGAAAGCACGTACGTGGGGTGGGGGGGTGCCTTGGAAGAAGTTGTATCACCCTTTGAGCTCCCCTTGCCCCACCCACAGTGGGAGTGCCAGGGTGGCGGACGGGAGGCGCCCCTTGGGGGGCGAGGGAGGGTGCGGGGCCAGAGTGATTCATTTCAGACATCTGTGGCTCAGGAGGTGGGCTTCGTGAGGATCCTCAGGCGAGGCCTGGTGAAAGAGAAGAGTAGATCAGGCCAAGCAAACTCGGAGGCAGGGGAAGTAGGCAGGAGACTCTGGGCATCCATTTTAAGCACCTCCAGGTGCCAAGCACTGAGTTGGAGGGGGTGGGGTGGAGGAGAAGACAAAGAAATCTACATTATGGTGCCTGTTTCCAAGAGCTTCCAGCTTGGTTGGCCTGCTGTGTTGGGAAAGTGTGGTGGGGCTGATCAAACCTTCTTTATCTTTGCGCAGTGACTGCCAGCCCCCCGGGTCTGTCAGGGCCTCCGATTGGGTCGTTCTGAACTGCTCCTTCAGCCGCCCGGACGTCCCAGCCTCTGTGCACTGGTTCCGGGGCCCAGGCAGAGTTCCTATTCAGGAGTCCCCCCATCACCACTTGGTTGGAAGCTTCCTCTTCCTGCCCCAAGTCAGCCCCTCAGATTCTGGGCCCTGGGGCTGCATCCTCGCCTACAGAGATGGCTTCAATGTCTCCAGCACATACAGCCTCACTGTTCTGGGTAATTCCTCCCGTCTGCCTTCACACTTGATCACGATGCCTTCCTGCTCCCCTCTCACCTTCCCCCGAGACGTATGGGTCGCCAAAGCAGGGCTTCTGCTGCTAACACCGCATGTGATTGCTCTGGACTTCACTGCCTGATTTCTGTCTTCCTCCTGTTGCAGCCTTTCAGCTGCCTTCTCCCCTTGTAGACTTTCCCTTGGCCATCCAGCCTCAATTGCCAGCCTTTGGTCTCCAGCTGGCCCAGCCCACATCCTGGGTTTCTGAGTCTCTTCAGTTCACACACCTTATTCTGCTTCTTAGCATGCTTCTGAGCAGGACCACCTCCTTCACTCTCTGTCTCCCTCCCATGGCAACCCAGTTCTCATCCCCTCTGTCACCTCCCCCTCTCTGCTTTAACTTTGGGTTCCCTTCTCTCTCCAGCTCCGGAGCCGCCCATCCCTCTGACTGTGTATGCAGGAGCAGGTTCCCGGGTGGAGCTGCCTTGCCAACTGCCTCCTGGTGTAAGGACCCAGTCTTCCCTCACTGCCAGGTGGACCCCTCCTGGTGCAGGCGCTGACCTGCTGGTGGCCGGAGACAATGGCAACTTTACCCTTCAACTAGAGGCTGTGAGCCAGGCCCAGGCTGGGACCTACACCTGCTGCATCCATCTGCAGGGGCAGCAGCTTAGTACCACCGTCACCTTGGCCGTCATCACAGGTCAGTCCTGTGTTGGAAAGGAGTATCTCCCAGCCCCGGGGAGCTGGGGCAGGGAGGGAGACTGGCTGGGCAAAGACTGGGCAAATCTGCCTCATGATACCGGGCCGTGGGCACAATTTACAGAGGTTGCCCCATGTGGCCTCCTTTTTCTCACCCCCATGTACAAAGAACTGAAACTGAAAATCGCCCTTGAGTCACTAGATGAATGTTCCACTCTTCTCTAAGGGGATCCCCTGCTCTGAATTGGGGGGAGGGTCTGAGAACTTAGAAAGAAAGGTGGCAAAAGTTCGAACAGTTCAAAAGGGGTGGAATATATTTCTAGAATACTTGTCCCACTTTAGAGCCAGAGCTTGGGTTAAAGTTGCAGGAAATGACCTCAATTTGGGAGGAGTTAATAAATCAGTCCCTTGGTCAGCAAATATTTACTGATCATGGGCTTTTCAAGACAGCGTAAAACAAACACACCTTAAAAAAACAACTCAGAAAATGTGTTGATTGATTGGGGGTTCAATCAATTACCAATGGTGGCTATTTGGCTGTGTCCATAGTACTCACCTGTAGCTGCTAAATAGTAGCACCACAAAGTCAGTACTTAATAATGTATATTGGTTCAATGAATAAATGAATATGCTAACGAATAATACATTTTCTGTGGGCCAGTGCTGAGTTTCCACATGCTTCCTGGATATTCCTACCTAGGTATTGTAGGCACACCTCAGTCTCACTCTGAACCCTGTCTTTTCCTCATGCCCAGTCCTCTTACTTAGCGTTTCTGTCAGTAACTCCTCTTGAGTCCCACTCACCCTGAAGCCTAGCCTCCTTCTTCCCCCAGGTCTAGTTCGTCACCAGCACCTACCCATTCTTTCTGTCCAAGGTCTTCTTGAAGGTCCACTGTTTTGTGTCAGTTTCCCATGCTATCTCATGGCAACTCAATGGGAGGTGTTTTACAGAGAAGGAACTTTCCCAAAGTCACACAGCTGGGATGTGCCAGACTCAGGGTCTATACTTGGGTGTCTGTGTCACCAAATCATCAGGTTTCTGTACACCAGGCTCAGCTCAAGGCCCTTGACCATCCGTCCTCTCCTCCTCATGCTATCACTCACTGTTCAGCTTTGAGAGGCTCTGTCTCTAGATCAGTGGGTCAGTTCACTGTTCTCCAAACATTCAGAAAGGGGGCAAGCTCCTTCAGGGGGGCACCTCAGGGCAGGGGCACTGTTATCATTCAAATTGTGGAAACAGAAAAAGTGTAAACTATACTGGGGGCCAACTCACCTGACAGATATTGGGGGTTCTGAGCATTTGGGTAGAGAGTAGTGTAAAAGAATCTGAAACAATATTTGTTATGTGATCCTCCTGGGCCAGTTTGAGTTTGAACAGTCCCCTGAAAGCAATAGGAAAGTGTTTGAGCAGCAGAGTGATCTGACCAGAACTTTGTCTTCATAAGATTAATTTGGCCCTGACCCTGATCTCCTCCCCTCAGCCTCACCCAATCAGAACCCAGGGGAGTGCAGTGTGATTGAGACTTGGGAGTTGTTGAATCTATGGTATCAAGTAAGGGGGTTGGGGACTCAAAAGATCTCTCCCCTCTAATGTTTTCAGTGACTCCCAAATCCTCTGGGTTACCTGGCAACCTGAGAAAACTGCTTTGTGAGGTGACTCCGGCATCTGGACAAGAGCGCTTTGTGTGGAGCCCCCTGGACAAGCGGTCTTGGAGTTCTCCAGGACCCTGGCTGGAGGTGCAGAAGGCCAGCCTCCTTTCTCAGCCGTGGCAGTGCCACCTGTACAAGGGGGAGAGGCTTCTCGGTACAGCCGTATACTTCACGGAGCTCTCTGGCACAGGTCTGAGACCCCACAACGCCGCAGCCCCAACTCCAGAACCAGTCATCTTGATCCCACTTGCAGACCCCCTCACCACCCCCTCCCAGTTCTTTTTTTCCCCTTAGGGACCTGGCTTCCAGCTCTTGTCTAGTCCCAGCCCACTTCTGCCACTAATTAGCTGAATGGTCCTGGACAAGTCCCTTAAACTCTGGGTCTCGTTGTCTGCATCTGTAAAATATGAGGCTGTGGCAAGAGGTCCTTTCTGCCAGGACCCTATGCCTGATCCTGTACTTTTTCCTTAGGTGCCCAGCACTCTGAGAGAGCCCCGGGTGCCCTGAAATCAGGCCATCACCCTCTCTTTCTCACCGCTGGTGTCCTCTTTTTCCTTTTGGTGATTGGAGCCTTTGCCTTTTACCTTTGGAGAAAACAGGTGAGTTCAAGAACCCCGCTACCCCCCTGCCTCTGGTTTCCCTTCTCTGCAGTCCTCAGAGTGCTGTCTGGCACCCCTTCCTCAGGAAAGGTGACTAAAGTGGATGCTGAACTTGCCTTTAGAGACCCTTCTTCATAAGCCTCTGTATTCCAGGGATTCCCTTGTGCTTGAACAACCCAAGGGAGGCTCGAAGGGGCTGAGAAAAGGCCTGGGACCAGATGGGGAAGGCGGGGGCTGAGAAAGAATAGATGGGCCCCGTATCCTCCTTATTCCCTTTCTCTTCATCCTTCTCTTCCTTCCACCTCTCATGTCTTTCCACAGTGGCAACCAAGAAGATTCTCTGCTTTAGAGCGTGGGATTCACCCACCTCAGGCTCAGAGCAAGGTAGAGGATCTGGAGCAAGAACCAGAGGCAGCGCCAGAGCCAGGGCCGGAGCCAGACCTGGAGCTGGAGCTGGAGCCGGAGCCTGAGTCCTGGCCACAGCAGCCCTGACCTGGAGCTGAAGCAGCCAGCGGATCTCTGTGATTCAGTTCAAATAAACTCCCATCAGCAGCAAGCCTGAGCCTGGCTCCTTCTTGTCCAGTGAAGGTTCTTATCTCTCCCCAACCTCTGGGGGGCTCCCTTCTCCCACCTCAGCCTTTCGACCTACTTTCCCCAGCCAGTCTCTGTTTTCTTCCTCTTTCTGTTCCTAGCTTCTCCGTGATTCTTTCTTCCATGGTCTCTTTCTTACTCTCTCCCTCTCCTGGGCTGTCATTTTTCTGAAGCTCCAAAAGCCCTCACCCCTTACCTCTATAGCCCTTTCCTCCTTTCTTTCGCTCATATCATACTTGGCTGCCCTGGTTTCCTTTATATTTTTATTTATCTGGCCCACCCCGCCCACACTCGGCTCCACTTCAGAACTGTCCTTGGCCGTGTAGCGCGCGCGCGCGCGCGCGCGCGCACACACACACACACACACACACACACACACACACACACGCAGTACTGCCCTGTCACGTCAAGTCGTCCTGGAGATCAAGTCTTGCAACCTTTCTGTGACGCTGGCTTAAGTTCCTGCCTGCCTCCGCCCCCACCTCCATGTTCCTCGGCTCTTGGAGCTCTGTCTGCTCCCAGGCATGACAACACACTGCCACCCAGTGGTCACTATTTGTCACACACCACTGGGAGGGGGGCCCTGGGTAGGGGGGCAGGCCCAAGGAGATCAGCCGTGCAGTGGACAGGTGGGCACACATCCCTGCACGGAGGCACCGCCCTGTGGAGTGCCCTTGCTATGGCCTGCATGTGAGTATGCACCCTCCCGGGGAGCCTCGGGACACATAGCCCTGGACCTGGCAAAGCTATGTTCCAACTCTGACAAAGGAGAGTGCTGTGAACAAAGGCCCCACGTGGGGACAAGAGCAGCCAGCAAGACGGCTGGCTGCTGCTGCAGCTTTGGGAATCGGGAGACCTGGCCTCTGATCCTAGCTGTTTTGATGTGACCAGAGTTCATCTCCCTGAGCCTCAGTTTCCTCACCTATTAAATGGGATCATGCTAATATAGAAGACCACCAGCCTGCCCCTGGCTGTTTCTCGGTCTGGGATCCGGGCCACGCAGGTTGTCGTCGGTAGAGCACAGACGCGGCCTCAGCCCACAGCACCCCCCCCCGCCCCCCCAGTGACCTAGACCTCTGCCTGCAGTGTGTGCAGGGCTCTGGACTTTGGCCGCAGACAGCTGTCAGGGAACTTTACCCTGGACAGGAGGGAAAATATATTGAAAGAGAGCGGGAGCAAGTCTTCAGGAGCTACCATGTTCTAATGGGGCAAGGGTTTTCTGGAAATTTCTGTGGGTGGCATTTTTTCCTTTCTACTAGGTAACATTTTATACCCTTGGGGCTTAGGAAAGTAGTCATCGAGGATTCACCAGCGTCTATGCAGGGACTTCCCCATGTTCCTGCAGAAAGGGGATAGGCAGAGAGAAAGGCCACCTTGTTCACCCACTAAGGGAGTGAAGAGCAAAGAGCGGAAGGAGGAGAGGGCACAGGGCCTGTGCTTACAGTGATCCTTTCATTAATTTTTACCCCGTTCCATATGAGCTCTCTCCCAGGGTGTGACACACTCAGCTCCTCACCCTCTCCCCTCAAAGCTCTAGCAAGGTAACCTCCAGCCCTTTTCATGTTCTCTTAGTCCTTCCAGGGAGCTGGGTTAACTCATCCCGCCTCTCCAGGTTTATCTGGGAACTGAACCTGCTTTCCAGGCTGGAGACCTGGAGGGGAAGGGGCATCCGGGGGCAGGTAGTTCAGTGGGGCTAGTGAGGGCAAAAGAGGGATCATCTTAGGTCATTGTTAAATAGGAAGGAGGTATTAGTTGTCTATTGCCACGTAACAAACCACCCCATAACTAAGTAATTTAAAACGATAAACCTTCTCTCACATGGTCAGGTATCCAGAAGCGACTGAATTGAGTGGCTCTGGGGCAGGGTCTCTGGTGAGGTTGCTGCCAAGATGTAGGTCAGAGCTGGAGTCATCTGAAGACTTGGCGGAAGTGAAGAATCTGCTTCCAAGACGGATCCGCAGTGGCTGCTCGCCAGAGGCATTAGTTCTGCCCCACGTGGGCCTCTTTTTACGTTGCTCATGACAGAGCAACTGACTTCCCCAAGAGGGAGGGAGAGGCCAAGACAAAAGCTGCCGTGTCTTTCTAACCTAATCTGGAAAGCCTTATTCTTTCTGCCTTATTCTACTGGTTGCACAAACCGACGCTGGTACAGTGTGGGAGGGGACAACAGAAGGGTGTAAACTGAGGGAGGCAGGAATCCCTGGGAGCCGTCTTGCATCAATGTGGCTGCCATGGAGGGAACAGTGCCTGAAAGAGCCAAGCCGCGAGAGGGGACGAGGTACCCCTGAGTACCTCTACTCTGAGCCCTGCATGCACCTGGCAGCCTCGCCCGTGTCCGCTGTCAAGAAGTTCTGGAGGCCAAATGAGTTCAGAGCCTTGCCGAGTCAAGTGTGTCAGGCAAGAGGCCATGCTGTGCTCATCCAGACCTGTCGTCCCTCTCCCTTGACCTTGGTCTTCTTATCCTTACGGTGCATGGCCGGCCCCGAGATTTCCCTGCTCTACCTCTCCCACCAGGCAGAGGTGTTAAGAGTCCAGGCTTGGGTCCTTGCTGCTGTCCCTCCCACAAAGGAGGTAAGCAAAGAGCTTAGGTTTCCTTGCTTGGGCCCACCCCAAGGTGGAGTTAGACCTTTGAAGGGAATGGGGTTGGGGTGGGGATGGGTTCTGTCTGCTTCACTCTGTGGCTGACAGTTTATCCAACAGGCTGCAGGTGCCAGCTGGCTGAGCCCAGGCTGGGCCCTGAAATTTGTCTGCTCATAGCTCCTATGGGTTGCGGGAGGCCCAGAAACCATCTTCTGAGAGGGGCAGAAGGCGGTCATGGACCTAGGAAGAATGTGGCCAGGGTGGAAGTAGGCCAGCCCTCCAAGGCTCTACTTCCCAGAGAACGGGCTCTGTGGCCCCTCCCCCCACCCCTCATCTCCAAGCCCGGCCCCCAACCCCCTTTGCAAAGGGTGTCAGTGCAGCTGCAGATGTTTCTGGTAAGGAGGCCACCACAGGGCTGCACCTGGGGCATCCAACTTCCCTCCCACAGTCTTCCACAGGCAGCCCTGCCCCTTCTCCAGTAGCCCAGTCTCCAACACTTTGTCAGCCTTAATGCAGGTTTTCATCTGCTTCCCCTCTTCTTCTCCCCACATGACCTTCTCCCCCTCCTCCAATCTGCAGACAGAATCCATGCAGCAAAAATAGCTCTCTACCAGGAAGAGGAGACTTCTGGAAATCCCCATGCTCCATGCTCGCAGTCCTATTAGGGGGCAGATAGCTTAACTTCAGTCTCCTTGTCTATAAAATGAGGATAGTAATACCTAACAAAAATTCATGAAATGTTGTGTTAATGTTTGTGAAAGTGCTTTGAAAATGGAAAATCACTCTGTAGGTATGCAGGATAGCGGTGGTGCTAAGCCTCAGAAGCCCGGATGAAGTTGCTGACCTCACACCCCTGCACAGCTATGGGAGAAGCCAACTCTTAGTCATCATCCTAGCCTTCCTTAATGCAGAGGAGAGGGAGTGGCGTGAGGGGGGCAATCCGAACATTGGGGCCCAGGCAGAAGTTCAAATCCCAGTTCCACCAGTTATGGTTACTAGCTCCATGACCTTCAGCAATTTTCTTAAACTCATGAGCCTCAGTAGCCTTATCTGTATGACCTGGAGAATAATACTTACACCCTATCTTTACTGTGAGGATTCAATAAAATACAAAGCCATATAAAGCACGCAGCCCTGTTAAATGTTCAGTATAAACTTGCTCTCTCTTCCTCTTTTCTTTTCTACTTTGGAAACTCCAGAGAGAGAGAGCCAGGTTCTTGGAGCCTGTTGACTCTCGGGAACCCACTTACACAGGTGTTCAAAGGTCACAGACCCAAGAGTTGGATGGTGTCGTGCTGTCATTCTGGTGCAGACAGTGGACCCTAAGCTGTACCCAGCCCTTGGAACACTTTGTTTGATTTGCCCAACAAACCTGGAGAGGCGGGATGAGTTAACCCAGCTCCCTGGAAGGACTAAGAGAACACGAAAAGGGCTGGAGGTTACCTTGCTTTGAGGGGAGGCGGGGAGGAGCCGAGCGTCATCCCTTGGGAGAGAGCTCATAGGGAACGGGGTAAAAAAATAATGAAAGGATCACTGTAAGCACAGGCCCCGTGCCCTCTCCTCCTTCCGCTCTTTGCTCTTCACTCCCTTAGTGGGTAAACAAGGTGGCCCTTCAGGGCCCTTCTGCCCTTGTCTCCTCCCCGTCCCCCTTCTGCAGGAACATGGGAAAGTCCCTGCATAGAACAACAAAAAAAATTCGTTGCCAACATTAAAATGAGAAGATATTACATAAATGTCTGGTTTTCCATCTTCTCTCAAATTTTGGCAGGGCTGGCCACTCTGAGTTCACAGTCTGGTAGCACGTCTACTATCAACTGGGCTGCAGCTGTCCGATTAGCAGCTGCCCTACCTCAGCTCCCACCCCTCCCTATTGTTCACAGCCGGCCTGACGTTCTCATTATATTTCCTAGCAGGCTCCTGTAGGCATTTAAGTTTGTGACCTGCTCTATTTCCTCTCTATTCATGCCTTCAAAAAGTACTCAGCAGTCAGAGGCTGGGGAGAGGGGGGAATGGGGAGTTAGTGTTTAACAGGTACAGAGTTTCAGCTGAGGAAGGTGAAAAAGCTCTCGAGGTGGACGGTGGTTGCGCAACAACACAAATGTACTCGATGCCACTGAACCGTCTGCTTAAAGGTGGTTAGAATGGTAAATTTTATGGTGGTATGTATATATTTTACTGCAACAAATTTTAACATTAATAAATTTAGATAACATTTAATATATATAAAAAGATTTGACAAGCATTAAGGGTCTACCATGCCCAAGGCACTCTGCTGGGTGCTAAGCAAGACAGACATGGTCACCACCGTAGTCTGTAAGGCAGACAGTAAGCAAGCAATAATTTCAGAATCATTACACTTGGACCAGTGCTTCCAGGGGAGAAGCAGCACAAGGCATTGGGAGATCTGACTGTAAGAGACCCTGATTTCAGCCGAGGAGCCTGATGGTCGAGCCCAAATCCAGCCTCTGTGGTTCCATGGGGAGCCCCTTTACCTCCCTCACCTCTGAACCACCTGCCTCCAGACTTCTTTCAGGTGAGAAATCAACTTCAGTCTCATGAAGCTTCTGCCATGTTGAATTTTCTTTCACTGGTAGCAGAGCCCAGTGCTTGCTGATGCACACTTTCCATGGCTACCTTTCTAAATCTCCAGGCTGAAATAAAGTTCCCTATGATAAGCTTTTCCAATACCCTATCCTTCTCCCTTTGTAGCTCTTGTTTAATCATCATGAAATTATTAAATGTTTAGTGTCTACATCATAGGCTAGAGCAGTGGCCATGTCTAGCTTATTTAACATCCTTAGCTCCCAGCAGAGTACCTTGGGTCTGGCAGACACTTAACACTTGTTGAATACATGAATAAATAGAGGAACTGGACTAGATCAGGGGCTACAAACTTAAATAAATGCCCCAAGGAGCCTGCTAGGTAATGTGAATGAGACAGCAGGTAGGAGGGCATGTGCGTTCCAGCCTGCAGTAGTAAGGGGGTGAAGGCCTGAGGAAGGACACCCCCCCCCCCCCTTGAAGAACATATACCCTCCCTTTAAGGATGCTCCTTAAGGGGTGCACCTAACATTTTCACTTATATTCATTAACTAAAATAGTCATTTAGCCACATCCAGCTGTATAGGAGACTGGGAAGTATAACAAATCTGGGCAGCCATGAGCTCTGCTAAAATCAAGGGCATTACTAAGGAAGTAAAGAAGACAGACCTTGACCCTGGCTGGTGTGGCTCAGTGGACTGAGTGCCAGCCTGTGAACCAAAGCGTCACCGGTTCAATCCCAGTCACGGCACATGTCTGGGTTGCTGGCTGGGTCCCTGGTTAGGGGTGTGCAAGAGGCAACCACACATTGATGTTTCTCTCCCTGTCTTTATCTCTCCCTTCCCCTCTCTCTAAAAATATATAAATAAAATCTTTAAAAAACAAACAAACAGACTCTGGGGACAATGAAGTTCTGCACAGAAAGATAATTAAGATCTGAAGAATGAATAAAAATTTTCTAGACTAGTAGCTCTCAAAGGGTGGCCCACGGGGGCCCCTGAGCCTCTACCAGGGGTTTGCGGGTCCCCTTATTTTCATAAAAATAAAATCTGCATGTTGAGATTGCAATGATGTTGCAAAAGCAATCTGGGAGAGAGGGCTTGCTGCCCTAGCGCAAATCTAGGCAGTGGAGCCAAATCCTGCTATAGTCATTCTATTCTTCACCGCCAGGCACTTGCAGTAAGAAAAGAAGAAAAGAATTAATACCAGTTTCACTTAAGAATGCCCTTCATGAAGCAGTAAATATTAATTTTATTAAAATTCAACCCTTGACTACATTGTTATGGAATGAGATCTATAGCACTACTCATTTGTGATGAAATGTTGTGAAATGAGAGAAGCACTTCTGCTGCAAATGAAACACAGTGTTGTCTCAAGTGGTAACACTGTATTAATTGCTGGAGTTGCAAGCTGAACTAGCCACTTTCTTTTGTCATAGCAGAGGAATGGCATGATTATATGTGCATATTTAAATGCAAGCCACTGTGCAGAGGGTGTCCTGGAGGAAGAAGAGCGGAGAGGCCAGGCAAAAGATGACAATGGCACCTTGGAGGGGAGGAGTGGCAGCCAGGCAGTATGACTTGGACAGGCCTCAGAGCTATTTAGAAGGTAACATCCACGGGGATTGGTAAATAAACACACGGGAGGGGCTGGGTGAAGGAGCCAAAGATTATACCCACTTTATTTGGCTTGAGCAGCTTGGGGGATGGTGAAGCCCTCACAGAGTGTGAGACTTGAAGGAGAACTAGGATTCCAGGTATAAAAAAATAATAACTGAAACCACTTTATCTATCATCTATCTATCTATCTATCTATCTATCTATCTATCTATCTATCTATCTATCCATCTACCTAGCTATCTACCTAGCTATCTATCTTTCTAGAACAGTAGACACCTTTATTACAGGAGCTAAGGTAAGAGGGAGGAGCACTTCTGTGCTGTTCAGGGCCTTGATTTTCCTCAGCTAGGACTCCAGCTCCCCGCCCTCCAGCGCAGCCATCTGCTCGGCCACACTGGCCTGCTCTCGAAGCGATGCACGCAAGAAATTCACTCCATTGGAATTGCTCCTCTAGAAGACTGCTGATTTTGGCAGTCTTCTGAAATATCTTTGATTGTTTTTTCTTTTAATTTTCTTCCTCCACAGGAGTCAGCTTGGCTCCCTTCTTGCGGCCCAGGTGCAGGGCACACAGGGACTTGTACCACTCTCTGTACTGCGTGCTGTCAAGGAGCACAATGCAGCTCTTTACCAGGGTCTTGGTGCAGACCAGCTTGTAGTTGGATGCATTGCAGACAACATCAGTAATCCTTGCTTTGAGCGTGCAACACTCTGAGCCCCAAGCTGCCCATGTCCTGCCTCAAGGCTCGGTACTTCTTGCTGCCTTCCTGTACGTGGACTGTGTGTATGCCGTGGAGCCAATCTTAGCACGTGGATTCTGTGTATGTGGCAGGGGCCAATCTTAGTGCTGGCAGCAGGGCGTCCCAGCTCATAATTTCGCTTTTTGTAGTGGGGCTTGCTCTAGCCCCCGATGTTGCGGCACTTGTGCCAGTTGTCCTGAGAGATGCCCATGGTTCAGCGCTGGCTGGAAAGAACTAAATGGAGCCACTTTAAAATGGAGCCAGAGCTGTAATGCCAGAGGAACTGTGCCCGTTTTAGCCTCAAACTTTTGGAATGTTAAAACAGGGAAAAATAACTTTTAGGCAGCCCTAAAGCAACATTGTATCTCAACTGTTTGCAAGGATAACAAGAAAGCAGATATTATCGTTATTGGACCGATGGCTTCTGGACTGAAAATTAAAAGCATGCTTTAGAATAAACATCACCATGCTACGTTATCTGCCCCAGTAGAAATGCCTTCCTTCCATTGATTTAATTTTTCACCTTCGCTTTCTTATAAATACCCCTCGTCTTTACCTCCTGATTAGAACACTATTTGGGCTTCTGTCAAAATCAATGCTTTTCAAATAGCTATTCTTCTGATCTCAAATACATACTTGTTGCCTCTCGCTTTGAAAGGCCTTTACTTTGAGGTTACCAGAGGGTAATAGTGTGCAGATGATAAGTTTGGTTTGGAACAGATTAAGTTTGCTGTGTCTGGTGAACATCTAGGTGGAGACATCCAGGGAGCGGATGGGTACGCCCATCTGGAGCTCATGAGAGATGTGGGCTAGAGATAAACACCGCAGGCCCTTTCTGCCACCGGGGGCCACCTACAAGTCTCTGGGGCCTACCCTTGAACAAGTGCCCTCAGGGCCCGTGAGCAAGCAGCCCCTGAGGTCTTACCACAGCTTCTCTCATAGGTCCTGCACTAGCCTCCCACTTCTTTCCCTGAAGCCCAGGCCAGACTGCAGTGTCACTGACACAATGTTTTTCTTGCCACCCAACAATATAGTGCAGTGACCCTATTTCTTGCCACCCAACAAGAAGCACAGTGACACTCTGGGCTCCAGCCTGGTTATACTTAACTTTTCCCCTTGACTTTTGCATTTTCGCTTTAACATCTTTCCTGACAGGCAGGGGGTGGAGACCCCAACCCCAGATGGTGACGTTGGGGACTGTACCGTATGGGGTGTGGAGGAAGGAACGTCGACCGGGCTTCCTGTTTCTTTGATTAAGTGCGTCTTTGCAGAAGTAACAAGCAGTCTCCCCAGTGGGCGCCTGGTGTCAGAGGTCGCAGCCCTCACAGAGGCACACCTGTCCGAGAAGCAGACACAGGCGCAGACGGGGCAAAAGGCACAGGCCCAGAGGTAAGATGGACAGACTCAGCTTATTCCTTTCTGCAGGCCTGGGGAGGGGAGGAGAACATGGCAGCAGCTGCGTTGGAATGTGCTGGACTCTGCCCACAGCTCTGGCACCCTCTCTTGCATTTCATCACCGGCGATCTCCCACTGGAACTGGGAGCTCCAAGAGGCCAGGGGCTATGGCAGACTCCTCTCCCCACTGTGCCTAGCTCAGTGTCCAGGCCAGGAGATGCCTTTGAGGGGTGGTTGCCTCGGATTGCAAAATTGGAAAAGAAATGGGGACTTGAGGCCCCCTCAGGCTAAGAAAGGCAGTGGGAGACAATTAGCCATGGGGAGAGGAGGAGATGAGGGTAGGGAGAGAAGGAAAAGGGGAAGGAGGAGTGGGAACGAAACAGAAAGAATACATATTAAGGAGGGAGGAGGCCTATAAAATAAATCAAAAGGAGAAACCAAGGGAAAAGCATGAAAAAGAGAAAAAGAAGTGGAATCTAGTCTAGCGATTTTCAATTTTCCCAATAACACAATCACTAAGAAGTCACCCTACAGCCCAGAAATCGTATTTACGGCATTTTATAAGCCATGTGACTGAGGCAGCCTCTGTTACTTGTCTTTTCCGCTTATGTGTATTTTTACATTTTGTCTACTTCTGTGCCTTTTTAGAATTTCGAACAATAGGTCTAAAGGCACTTCCCCCTTAATTAGCTTTAAAACGATTAATGAAATGGAAAAGCTAAAATTCTCACAAAGGGTTGAAATTGAGCTTTACGTATGAAATCTTTTCAAAGAGATAGATACATATTTTTAGGTAAATACGTCATTGGAAAAAGTGGCTGTAAGAGAGTTGGCTTTAGGAGTCTTAGCTGCTCTGGAGAAGGGGGCTGGGGGGTGAAAAAGGGATGTGCAGACCCCCTCCCTGCTGCAGACTTGGTCAGGTGTGAGGGACGCAGGAGGTAATACCCTCAAGATGGGACACCTCGTACAACTCCACAGCCTCAGGCCGTTTCTTCCCTAAGATCTCCACGGCCTTCCAGCGCTGCACCCAAGGCAGCCTCCGCTTCGCCTCCACAGGAGGTATATTCTGGGAGAGGGGCCTCCTCAGTACGGTCAGATTCCTGAACAGAAACACACCGTTCTCGCTGATTCGAAGATTTCGTTCTGGGTGGAACACCTCCTCCTGAATGTCCTGCTCTTGCGGGGCAAATATTTAAGAGTGCAAGGCTGAGAGTAGAACCTGGTGGGGAGGTCACTGCTCTTTTGTGTTTTGACAGATAATTTCTTGGGCTGTGCGAGACTCTGGTGGTTTTTACAAGATGGCTGCCCTTAACCTCAGATGACAGAGGCCCCAGAGGACAGGGACAGAGATAACTTGCCATATGATTTTCCTCTTTCACTGTGGGAGCACTTACACAGAAGAGGTCTACCTTGAAATAAAAACTCTCCCCGCCCAACTGGTGCTAGACAGAAACCTCTCAGTACCTTAGGCCTCAATCCCAGCCATAATGGTGACGTGGCCGCAGGGAGTTGGGTAGACCAAGGGCCTTGCACGTTTTAGACCCTGAATAAGTGTTTATTGAAAGCCTTAGATACTGAATACATGTTTGTTGAATGAAATAACTTTGATGAGGGTGGGTGCTGGCAGGAAGCAAAGGGGGCTTGGGTTTGTGTGGATCTGAGGCTGAGCCCTGTTCAGCACCTTTCGGGGATAAGGGAAGGAGGGAGGGCATGTCTCCCCCAACGTAGGCGTCTGAGGCAAAGGAGAGGATGGTGGAGGTTGCAGTTTCTGAACCACAAGGGTCCCTTAGAGGGGTCATGGTATCTAGGAACTTTATATGAAGCCAGTAAGCAGTAGAGGGGCTGTGTGTGGTCAGGGCACATCCCGTGGCTGATCTTGAGGGAGCTGTCTGGGAGCCACGGGGGGAAGATAAAAGTGCCCGTGGGACCACAGACTGTTGCTGTGGTGGGGCTGTGCCCTCTTCCTCTCCCCAGCCTCGCTCCCCATCCCATCTCAGGGGGCCAGGGTGAGGGCAGCAAGAACCTCAAGAGCTCTGAGCGTGTGGTGCGTGTTGCCATTTTGGTCTCATTGCTCCCTTGTTCTCTCTCTTTTGCTCAACTGCACTGTGAATGGGCCTTGGCTCTCAGAATTTCTTCATCTCTTTCCCTCTGCCTCCACCTTGTTTGAACTCCCCTGGGCTTGGTGTGCGATCATGGATTGTGCAGCATGTAGCTGTGGCTTTAATGAGCTGCTCCGGGCCTCTCCCTACCTTTGGCTTTCCTTGGGGCCTCTGCGCGTTTCTTGGAATCTGTCCTTTCCCTCTGCCCACCCTGCAGCCATGCCCCTCAGCCCCGGGCTGTGCTCTGCAGGCTCCCATCAGATCAAAGCTTGTTGAAAGTCGGCATTCCTGCCCGCGGCCTGGATGCCTGTTCACAGGCAAGAAAAGAAACGAGAGCTTGGTGGCAGAGGGAATAGGAAGAGATGAAAAAGGAGGAGAGGCATGGGCCCTCCAAGCAAAACCAGGAGAGCCAGAATGGCCTCGTGGTGGATGAAGCACAGAGGAAGAGAGACGCATACGCAGGGAGCTGAAGATGTGTCTGCGTGGGGAGGCACAGATACAGAAATGCAGGGATGTAAGCAAAGAAACAAGGAAGGAGAGAGAGAGAAAGAGAGATTGAGGGAGGCACCAGGACCTTGGGGACCAGCAAGCACCTCCCAGCTTCACCCTGGGGCTGTACTGTACTGGGGCAGGCGCCTCTGAGGAGGCTGAGGATGTGGGAATCAAAGGCCAGCTCTCTGGGGTGGCAGCAGCGGAAACCCAAGGCACCAGAGCAAGCAGCAGCTGGAAACCCATAGCCTCCTGCACTGAGCTGAGCCCTGGGGCTGGGTTGGGGCCATGCAGGGAGCTGGAGGGAGGGGGTGGCCGTCTGCACAGACCCTAGGATCATGGAGTAGGGAAGAAAAAATGACCACCATTTGGGAAAGGTCAAGATGTCCAAGCTTCCTGAACCATCTACGCTGAATTTGGGCCCCAGGAAAGGGATATCCCATAGGAGACCCCTCTACTTTCTGCTCACCAAAGACACAGTGAGCCTAGGGTGGGGGAACAGTGGGAACCACTTCAGATGTGAGACTGCCCCTACCCCACGCTCTCACCCCAGCCTTCCCCACAAGGCCTCCCTGCCCCAAGTTAACTTGTAAACAACTGCACTCGTGACCAGCCTCCTTCCTTTCCTGAGCCTTCCTTCTTGACATCTTCTCATTTCCCTGGGTAAAAAAAATTCTATCAAGTCCTTACCATACGGTAAGCCCTGGGTGATTGTCTTTCAGGCAGGTGGAGTGACGGGAGAGGGCTTTGAAAAAACCTTCCCCCAAACTTCATCAGTAGGAACCAGCCCCCCCCACCCCCCCACCCCACCCCGCCCCAGCCCGGCCCCACACTCTCAACCCCCTCAAACAGCCCCACCACCTCCTCACACCTTGGGGTGGGATGCCCCTCCCCTTTTCTTTCATCCAATTCATGGTTTTCAAATTCAAGCTTGCATCAGTCACCTGGAGGTTTGTGAAAACGCAGGCTGCTAGACTCACCCCCAGTTTCTGATTCAGCAGGTTTTGGACAGGGCCCGAGAATTTGCATTTCTGACAAGTTCCCAGGTGCCTACGCTGCTGCTGCTGCTGCTGCTGCTGCTGCTGCTGCTGCTGCTGCTGCTCCTGCTCTGGAACCACACTTTGAGGATCCCTGCTCTAACCTAATACTGCCCCTTCCTCAGGGTCTGTCCAGAACTATTCTGGAGTCTCCTCCCCACAACCAGTGAGAGTCTTCTAAGCTCATGGGAGTGGCTCCTGCTCTTTCATCTAAATGCCGAAACAGCATCTCATGCTTGTCTCTCTAGGAGTTATTACAGGGTCTGTCTGCTAGTGAGCAGGGCCTTACCCTCGCCTCTTCTTCTCCCTGGCCCCTCACACTCTATCAGGCCCCAAATCCTGGAAATCTCACCTCAAAACTGTCCCATAAGTCAATCTCTTTTCCCACATGCTCACTGCCTTTGCCTGAGTTCAGGCCTCGTCTTCTGTGTTGGGCCTGTTAAAATCCTGACTCCTGGGCTTGGCCTCCTCCCACCCATCTTTCACAGAGCAGCTCGAGGGAACCCTTTTGCAAATGTAATCGTGTCCTTCTCTAGGGAAGTCCTCTGCTGGCCCCCATGGCCCATGGTCATGTCCCAGCACCCCAGCACAGCATTCAAAGGCCTTCAGGACCTGGCTTGGCTCCCTGGTCTCAGTCCCCACCAATTTGCCACTTTCTCCATAAATTTTTTTCTTGATGCCAGCTGGCAGAGCCCTCGCGCCTGGCCTGGCCGCAGTATTGTGTGGCACACATTGGTGGGTGACCGCTGAGAGGTATGCACTCCAGGTCCCTGGCTTGGCTGTAGGTTCCTGAAGGGAGAGATTGCCTAACATCCCAGTATGCTCCAGGTGTAATAAGTGCCTGCTACCTAACGATTAGTATGTTTCTCAGGCTCTGCCCCTTCTGCAGGGGAAGGCCCAGGTCCCTGCCTCCCTCAGCAAGGGCACAATGAACCAGGGAACCTCTTTTAGGCACCTGCTGCTCCTGCTGCTGCAACTGGGTGAGTGTTCAGATTTGGGGCGTGGGTGCAGATGGCCTGGGAGGAGGGGCTGATTGAGAATTGCAAAGGTGGGGTTGGCCCAAGGTGGAGCAGTGACTGGCTTGGGGCCTGACCTCTTCTTTTTCTCCCAGTGCTGCTGCTCCCAGAGGTCACTCAGGAGAAAGAAGTGGTGCTGGGTAAGGCAGGAGACATAGGAGAGCTGCCCTGCAAAAATCCTGAGAAGAAGAACGTACATTTCAACTGGAAGGATCCTACTGGGAGCAGGATTCTGGGAAGCTACTCCGGGAGTACAGGCCTGTTTAAAGGTAGGGTGGCCTATCTCCCGGCGGTGGGTCAAGCCCTGCTGGTGTCAGTGGTCTCCTCCTGGAAAACTGTGGGCTCCCCAGAGGATTCAGGCTGACAGGGACTCAGGTGTAAGTGTTCGCCTTAAGTGATAAGTAGAATAATTTTTTTTTTAGTTTTCGTTTTTGTTTCTGGTTTCTGTTTTGTTTCCTTTTTTTTTAACAGTTGCTTTCTGTTTATGTCAGGTGATACTGGCTTTCTCTTTATTGTAGCAATAGAAAGTTTCCTTTTAAAATGAAGTTATTTAATTTAAAAAAGTGAATCTATTTCAAAATGTTACATAAATAACACGGGTTGATTTGACCAAAAATCATGTATAAGGTATGTGAATGGTTGCAGTCCGGAAAATATGGCTCCGGTCCAATACTCTGATTTTACTATTGAGGAAACTGAGGCCCAGGGAGAGGAAGTCCCTGCCCTGAGCTTTTGTATCCAATTAGAGGCAAAACTGGATTAGAGCTTTGGTCTTTCTTTTCTTTTCTTTTTTAAGATTTTATTTTAGAGAGAAGAGAAGGGAGGGAGAGAGAGGGAGAAAGAAACATCAATGTGAGTACATCGATTAGTTGCCTCTTGCATGCACCCAAGTAGAGACCTGGCCCCCAACCCAGACATGTGCCCTGACTGGGAATCGAACTGGTGACTTTTCCATTCAGTTTGCAGACCAGCACTCAATCCACTAAGCCACACCAGCCAGGGTGGAGCTTTAGTCTTCCAACTTTCAGGCCTAGGCTCTCCTGTGGACATCTATCCTTAGTGCAGCCAAACCTGAATTGGGCACAGTGCACAGAAAACCATTTTTGCTGAAAATGGACATCTTCTCTTCCAGTGCGAAAAAAATCCTTCTCTGACAAGGAGGTTCTTGCTGGACTCCCAGAGTCATGATTCAGACACCCATGTCCACCCTCCAGGTCTGAACACAAAGAAAAAGCCATTCCCTAAAATTAACAAACTCCCCAATTCCTGATCTCTTTCTGAGAAAAACAAAGCGGAAATCAGCAGGTTACCTAGATTAGCTGCTCCTTGCCTGCCACGGCCGCTCTGTCAAACAGCTGCTTCGAGAGGCCCCTATGACCAAACTCCCCTGCGTCCTCCTCTGGACTTTGGGTCCCTAGTGCCCACTATGTAATTCACACTCTTGGAGAGAGCTCAGGACCACAACTCCCAGAAATTCTGCAAGCAATTTTTCTGTCCTAGAATTTTACTCTGCTACATTGCTTGAAATAAGCTGACTTTCTGTTGGGACTTTATTTATTGTTATTGATGTTATTAAAATAACCTGAAAAAGTGATACAGGTACATGGTAAAGATTTTAAAACCATGCAGATAATATACAGTGAGGATAAATCTCCCCCCCTGCCTGTGATCCCCAGTTCCTTAGCTTTCTTTCTCAGCAACTGTTTTAATCACTTTCTGCGTTTCCTTCAAAAGATGAAATATGCATGTGGAAGTCCATGCGTATATAGTCCCCTCTTGTCTTAAATAATCAATTTATCCTCTTTCTTTCTCTGTCTCTCTCTCTGGTCTACAATTGCTAAATAATGTTCTAGATACTAGGAAGATAATATAGTAAAAAAACAAAAGAGACATTCAAGTGATGAGCATACCATAGCCACATACCTGGTTCTAACCTTGTTTTGTTTTTGTTTTTGTTTTTACTTTTTAATCAGACAGATATTTTGAAGATTCTTCTACATTCATATGTATGTGCATCTACATCTATTTATCTATTTCTACCATGGTCCAATATATATCTATGTATATATCTCTATGTCATTTCTTTTCAGTGACAGTATATTTCTTTTGCATAATTATACCACAATTTATTTTACTAATCCCATAATGTTAGACATTTAGGCTACTTTCATTTTATTGCTGCCAAACAATTCTGCAGTGACTCAAACTTCGTATCTTTGGACACATGTGCAGCTGTCTTTGTAGGATAAATTCCTAGAAGTGAAATTGGTAGGCCAGGTCAGATTGATCTTTATCTTTTTGTTAGACAAATTTTGCTGAAGTTACATCCTATAATAAGATTTGACTGTATAAATTTGCACCTTCCAATATATTACTTCCTTTATACAAATTTGATTGATATTACTGTTTTTTTCTTCAGATTTCAGCAATATTACAGGTTCATCGCAAATTATTTGGCAAATGCAGAAAAGAATAAGAAAGAAAATCAAATACATGCATACTTTCAGATATCCTCTGTTAAGATTTGATTTATTTTCTTCCAATCTTTGTTTAGTGTGGCAAATATAGTACATATTATTTACATAGATGCTATTATCAATCTATTGTATGTACTTTTATTCTACTCTCTAGTAACATTATATCATGATGAGATGATAAATTATTAGACTAAGTTTTAAAAGTAATCTGGTGAGTCCTGACCAGTGTAGCTTAGTTGGTTGGGTGTCATCCAGCAAAGCAAAAGTTTGCCAGTTCGATTCCCAGTCAGGGCACATGCCTTGGTTGCAGGCCAGTCCCGGTCAGCGCATGTGGAAAGGTGACCAATTGATGTTTCTCTCCCTCTCTATCTCCTTCCTTTCTCCTCTCTCTAAATGTAAATAAATAAAATCGTTTTAAAAAGCTTATTTTTAAACAAAAATAAATAAAATAAACAATAAATAATTACCTCCCAAAAGCCCCACCTCCAAGTACCATCACATTGAGTGTTAGAGCTTCGACATACAAATTTTGGAGGGATAGAATTCAGTCCATAGTAACATGCTTTTTGCTATTCCTCTAACTAAGTACAACTGAAAACCCTTCTTATGTATAGAACGAACATAATTTTAATTTTTAAATTATTTAAAAATAAAAATTTTAATTTTATTTTTTTTTTAGTTTTTGATTTTTAGAGAGAGAGGAGGGGAGGGAGAAGGGAAGGGAGAAAAACCTCTATGTGAGAAACAACAATTGGTTGCCTTCTGTACATGCCCTGACCAGAGACTGAACCTACAACCCAGGCATGTGCCCTGACCAGGAATCGAACCAGCAACCTTTCAGTTTGCAGGATGACACCAGACCAACTGAGCCACACCAGCCAGGGCTAACATAAGGAAATTGTGAAAGATGCAGAGAAGAAGGCAGACTGGTAGGGGCCTCAGGACCTGAGGACCAACATGTGGTGAATTTTCTTGTTGCCTTGTGTATCCCAGTCCTGGAACTTGAAGAAGCTGGCAGTCTGGAAAGGCCAATGGACACCGACAAAAATAAGCCTCAACAAGAGCTTGTTTTCTCTAGCCAAAGGAAAAGGAAAGGAGCAACTTAGAAAAATAAAACACTTTCAGATAATAACTGCTCTATTTCAGTCACTGTGGAGGAAAACGCTGTGGCCCACAAAAAGAATGAAAAGTTCCACATACATATGCTTAGAAGGATGTCAAGCATATTTTGTTATGTGGAAAGAGTAAGCTATATATGTAATATATTCTCATTTTAATTTAAAAATACAATGTGTATGTGAATATATGTCTGCATGCGCTGAGAAAAAAGCATGGCGGAATCTACACCACGTTGTTTGAAGTGGCATTAGAAGGGTAGGCCAGGGAAAAGGGAAGCGTTGAGTCTGTACAATTTGTCTAATTCAAATAAGTAACCTAAAAAGTAAAGATTAGCCCTGGCCGGGTAGCTCAGTTGGTTAGAGCATCGTCTCGATATGCCCAGGTTACAGGTTCAATCCTCGGTCAGGGCACATACAAGATTCAACCAATGAATGCATAAATGAATGGAGAAACAAATTGATGTTTCTCTCTCTCTCTCAAATCAATAAATAAATTTTTAAAAGAGTAAAGATTAGCTTAACACAACCCTAAAAATGTATATTATGTATATTTTCCATTTCATTAAAAATTATTTATAAATATCATGTTTGGTGCTACCCTAATATTCCATCAAATTCATTCTGCAGTCCATCATGTTCTGCTATGTAGCCATTAGGCTCTTGTCTAATGCTGTACCCTATTAACAACACGATAGTTATTATTTCTGTACTCACATTTTGGTTTGCATTTTTAAATTATTGCTTTAAGGATAAAGTTCTAGAAATGAAAGTATGGATACAAACTTTTAAAAACAGTTACTGTATACCACACAACTGCTTCCAGAAAGGTTTTATGCAACTGCAGTAAGTCTAGTGAGTGTTTCTGTCCGCCCCTCTCACTACACCCTTGTCAGCACTGAGTAGTATTATTTAAATTATATCCTTCCTTTCTTTCTTCCTTTATTCCCTCCCTCCCTCCCTTCTTTCCTTCCTTCCTTTTTGCTAATTTGACAGTTGAAAAAATATTGTTATTTTAATTTGCATTTTTTTGATCACCTGTGACATTGAAACAATGTGCTCCTTTCTAAAAAAATTTTTTTAAAGATTGTATTTATTTATTTTTAGACAGAGGGGAATGGGGGGAGACAGGGAGAGAAACGTCAATCGGTTGCCTCTCACATGCCCCCAACTGGGGACCTGGCCCGCAACCCAGGAACATGGCGGACTAAGAATTGAACCGGTGACCTTTCAGTTTCTAGACCAGCACTCCGTCCACTGAGCCACACCAGACAAGGCTCCTTTCTTAAGGATTTTGTGTCAATGCTTTTGTTCTCTTTCTATAATTAGAGTTTCCTGCAGAGCAGCTCCCCTTCCCAACTTCCTGATCACTGACAAAGGCAGTATCACTCTGCTGATTCCACAGTCAAAGTTTTTTTTCTACTTCAATTCCTGGTTTCCTATTCATCACCGACTATAGCCATTCCTTCCTTTGGAAGTGTTTTCCTGTTTCATCTTTTTTGTTCCCATGGGAAAAGCACCATTTGCAAAGGCCACACACCTGGCAATTCTCTCTGTTACTAACCAGGCTCTTCTACTTTGATTTGTCTTTCACCTGTTGCCGAACAGACTTCCAAAGAAGTAATACCCTGCACATACCCCTCCCTAGTCCACTAGACCTCGCCTAGAAGCTTCTGCCCAACATTCATCCCTAGCATCACTTCCCATAGGTTCCCAGCCGCAGACCTGCACCCCCAGGTGGTTTTCTCACTGCTTCGAGGTGCTTCTCCCTGCTCCCGGATGTCCTCACTGCTCCCCTTCTCTCTAGTCCACTGGCTATACTTCTTTTAAGACTTGGTTCAACACTGGTCTCCTCCGTGAACTTATCCCAGGCTCATCCATGCTCTTGGGCCTTTCACACCACCTTGCAATGGCTTTCACCAACCATGGGACAGCCCGGGCAGGTGGGCCATGATGGGTCCAGACGAGGAAGTGATTTGAGGGAAGGGGTGATACATTTCATTTTGAACCAACTGAGTTTTGGGTGATGTCAGGCTAATCTGATAAAATTGTACCGTGGGCCACTGGAAATGTGGGCCCAGAACTGAGGAGAAAGGTTGGAGGTGGGACTATCAACCTGGGAGTCGTCTGCAGAGCTGAGGTGGGAGGCAGCAGAATTTAAAATATCACAGAAATGAAGAAGGGGTTCAAGACAGAGTCTGGGGTAACACCTAAAAGTAGATGTCAGAACAAGAGTCCAAAATGAAGAAAAGGGAATGGTGCTTGGATTCGGAGGAGAGAATCAAAAGAGGTGGAAAATGGAGCAGAACTAGGGAAGTCTCCTGTTTCAGGAAGTCTGGTAAATTGTGAAAGGAATACAGGAGGATTTCAGAAAAACTGAGGAACTAAACCAAGGCGTAGATCCAAGGGAAAGACTAAGTAGGGTAGGAACAGCTGAAGGGACAAATGAAAGAAAGGGGTGTTGGGTGAGTGCTGGAGGGAAAGCTGGGCTTGGGCCCAGGGCTGCAAGTTCTCTGGAAAGATCCCCTGGAGAGGATGAGCCTGAGCCATGGGGAAGGGGCTACGAGGTGTGGAAGAGAAGAGAAGGGAGAATGCACGGCTAACACGACATCCAGATCCAGTCTCCCACGCCAAGTCCAACATAGGGAGAAGGCCTGTGACTGCTCAGGGAGGCAGGGGTGGTGCGCATGGGGTGCCACCTTCCTCCCATCCCTGTAAATGTGCATTCCAAGTGAAAAACTGTGTGTTTGCTATGTAAATTTAGCTTCGAGAGCCCTCCTCCTCAGGAATTCTGGAGCTGCCACTGCACCTGGAAAATGGTTAGCTAAAGAGAACCTCCTCTTGGTGATGGTTCTTAGATTCTAAAAAAGAGACTGGAGAAGACTACGTGTCCATGTCTGAGGAACTTCCCAGAAACAGCATCTAACAGGTCTGAATTTTAATCCCACTCTACCCCTTCCTGGAGTCAAAATTCAAAAGGTAGAAAAGAGTATACAGTGAAAAGCTCCCCTGCCACACTTGGCTCAAGGGCATTCACTTCTGTCCCCCAGGGGCAACCAAGTTTACCATTTTCTTATGTTTACTTTTAGAAATATCTGTTCACATACAAGACAGATAGGTGTATAGAGGAATCTCCCTCTACTTTTTAAACAAATGGTGATCTGTTTAATAGAATATCTTGCTTTATTCAGTGAATGATGTTTCCTAGATATTATTCCATCTCAGTACATAAAGAGCTTCCTCCTGTTTCTATGACAGCATTCCACCGAATGGGTGAACTGTAATTTGTTTAACCTATCCTTTCTTTGTGGACATTTAGTTTTGTATGTGCATTTGGAATTCTGGTAGATATTACAAATCACGTTCCAAAGGACTCATACTGGTTTATGTTCCTGCTGACATTGTGTAAGTAAGACTTTGGGCGACTACTTAATCTCTCTGAGCCTCAGTTTCCCTATCTGCAAAATAAGCAAAACAGTACCTATTTCTTGGGATTGTTGTGCAGATTATTTGAGATGATGCATGTATAGAGTATTTAGCATGTAGGAGTTGGTGTTCTCTAAATACGATGTTACTTTATTTTGGGTCAGTGAGATGCTGTCCTGGCCGGGAAGCTGAATGTGATGGGACGTCCTTGCCAGTCAGGAGTCCTCCGACTAGGATGAGGGCAGATTCTGCAGGACGTTAGCTGCTCAGATCAGAAGAGTTGTGGGCCCTGCCTTCCAGGGGTACCGTGTCTCCACTATATCCCAACCTCCATATGACTTCTCCCAGGTACCTCCAAGATCAACAAACGTGCCGATTCAAAAAAATCCCTGTGGAACCAAGGAAGCTTTCCTCTGATCATCCGTACTCTTGAGATATCAGACTCAGGGAGTTATGTCTGTGAATTGGGGAACAAGGAAACAATAGAAGTGGAATTGCTGGTGTTTCAATGTGAGTAGAGCAGGCCTGGGGCACAGACACCTCCCGCCAGTCTCCCTTCCCTGCTCCCATCCTTCCACCCAAGCCAGGGCCTGAGCTGATGGCACTTCAGTAGTCCAGAGCCGGGTGAGACTGGCCGCCTCCTCTCCTCAAACCCTCCGCCCGCCTTGGGTCAGGTGCAGGGGAGAAGGGGAGACCTAGAGAGGGAGAAGGAGAAGAGCAGGAGACATAGAAAAGAGGGGGAGAGACAAAGGAAGAGAAGAGAAGGAGAGGAGGGGGAAAGAGGACGGGAGAGGGAAGCCCTACCTAGGGCTGGGGGTGGACAGCTGGGAGCTGGCTGGAAGAGAGATGTTGGGACAGGGGTAATGGGAGACACTCTTGGTTTCCTGGCTTCTTCCCTTCTCCTTGGGGAATAGCATGTGTGTATGACACAGGTGGCCTGTTCCCTCCACAGTGCATGCCAATTCGGACACCTACAGCAGCATCCGCCTGCTGGCCGGGCAGAGCCTGACCCTGACCTTGAAGTACCCCCCTAACAGTAACCCTTCAGTGGAATGGAAAGGTCCAGGGAATAAAAAGAAGAGTGAAGGCAAGAGCCTCTCTCTGCCCCGGCTGGGGTTGCAAGAGAGTGGCACCTGGACATGCAGTGTCTCCGTGAACAAGAATTCACTGGTGTTCAACATAAACATCTTGGTGTTGGGTAAGAGTTGCTTCTGTCCCCTGCAGACTACCCCTTACCTCAGAGGCTGACAGTCCCTCCCTCAACTCCGACTGCTCTGCTGCTCGGTCTCATACTAGGGACAGAGGGAGGCTAGGGCCAGGCGCCCCTAAAGCTGAAGTCTATCGTGAGGGACACACGGGGCTCTCTCTTCCTCAGGCTGATGGACTTGGAGGAAGGAAGGGACATGGGGTGTAAGGATGTGGGGGACTCCAAGGACCCATGGAGGAAGCCCCAAAAGAGAAGTAACAAGGACATCTGTTTTCTTTGCTGCCTCAGCTCCCCACTCCCACTAAGCTGGCAAATCCATTTATGCCGGGACACTAACCAGCGCTGAGGAAATCCTGCATTGCCCCTTTAGAACCCTGAGCTAGCCACTGCGGGGACAACTGAAAGCCCAGAACGTAGGTCTTACCCCAGACGCTGTGTGACACAAGGTAGGGCAGCGTCTGGACTCAAATTCAAATCCTGGCTCTGACTTAACCGTGGGCAAATTATTGAACCTCTCTGTGCAGTGGTTTCTGTAATACGGGGATGATGCTCACTGAGAAAGCAGGGCTCACCTTGCAGTGTTACAGTGAGAATGTAGCAAGTAAGGCGCTTAGAACAGTGCCTGGCACGTAATAAGCCCTATGTAAATGGTTGCTCCTATCCTGTGAAAGTGCTAACTTTTGTTTTTTTATCTTCACCTGAGGACATGCTTATGGATTTGAGAGAGAGAGGAAGGGAGGGAGAGAGAAAGGGAGAGAAACATCAATGCCAGAGAGGAACATCGATGCCAGGGGGAAACATCAATTGGTTGCCTCTTGCACATGCCCTGACCAGGGACTGAACCCACAACCCAGGCATGTGCCCTGAGTGGGAATCAAACCCCAGACCTTCTGGTTTAGGGGATGACACCCAGCCAACTGAGCCACTCCAGCCAGAGCAAGGGTGCTAAGCACCTAATTAATGCAGGCCAAATACCTTCTGTGCTCCAAGGATCCTGAAGAGGGAGGGGTCCCCCTCTGGCCGGGGTGTTCTATGAGGGCTTCCGGGGGGAGGAGGCACTGCTGTGGGAGCATGCTGGGGCAGAGAAATGAGAGAGTAGATTGAAGAGGTAGATGGGAATTTAAAGGCCTGAAATGGCGAGCGGGGGGTTTGGATGCACATGGCCCCCTTCTGTCTTTTTGCTGCGCCCGCCGCATGCCTACCCCACCCTGTACACCCTCACCGTTCTATCTCCTTCTAACCCAGGTTCTCTCCCTTCCTGCCTCCAGCTTTCCAGAAGGCCTCTAACACATTCTATGCAAAAGTTGGGGAGCCAGTAGTGTTCTCATTCCCACTTACCTTCGAAGACGAAAGCCTGAATGGGGAGCTGAAGTGGCAGGAGGAGGGAACTTCCACCCTTCAGTCCTGGGTTACCTTCTCCTTGAAGAACAAGAAGGTGTCTGTGGTGAAGGAGCGCCAAGACCGGAAGATCCAGGTGAAGGAGACGCTCCCCCTCCACTTCAGCCTGCCCAAGGCCTCGCCTCAGGATGCTGGTTCTGGAAATTTGACCCTGTCTCTCGGGCAGGGGCAATTGCATCAGGAAGTGAAACTCGTGGTGATGAAAAGTGAGGAGCTGGGCTGAGAAGAGGAGGGCAGGGGTGGGAGGTGGAAGGACCTGACCCAGGGCTCCTTCTAAGCCAGGACAGGCTCCCAAAGGGTTGCCTAAGCCCTGGTTGTCTCATGGAGTTGATGAAGCTCCCGCTGGTTTGGGAGCTGGTTTTGCACTGACACTGGAATCCGTATATCTTCCCTGATGTCTCTGAGCCAGCCTAGGGCACGTCCCACTGAGAATCCCCAAAGGCCATGTGCTGACAACCAGGGTTCTGGTTCTGCCTCTGCCCCATCCTCTGTGGACCTAGCTAAGCCCACACCTCTGTGTGTCTGTCTTCGCCTAATGAGAATAATAAAGTCTGCTCTGAATGTGATAGTGATGATGATAATGTCAGGCTTCACGCCGAGTTCTTCACTTCCCTGTTTCCTTAAATCACTGTAACAGCTCCACAAGTAATAATGTCTAATACTTGATGCTTCCTCCATGCCAGACCCCATTACGAATATTTGTGCATTTAATAATTGTCTGGGGCTCAGGTTGCTAAGCAACTTGCTCGGGGACACACAGATAGTAAGCAGTGGGTCTGGGTTTGAATCCAAGACTGCTGGACCTCAAAAGCTGTGTTTTCTGTATTAGAACTGCATGCAAATGTGCTCTGAGATGCTGAAAGAAGAACACCCGCGTAAAGTGTCATTTCGATAGTTCTACCCTTTCCCCTTAGAGCACAGAGGTGCTAGGAACCCAGAGGTCCAGGCTCCTAACCTCAGGTTCTCATTCCTCTGCAGTGACTGAGTCCCAGGACAAACTGACCTGTGAGGTGCTGGGGCCCAGCTCCCCCAAGCTGATGCTGAGCTTGAAGCTGAACAACCAGTCTGTAAAATCCGTAGAGCAACAGAAGCTTGTGAAGGTGCAGAACCCTGAGGGGGGGGACCTGGCAGTGTCTACTGAGTGACAAGGACAAAGTTCTGCTGGAATCCAAGGTCGAGAGTGAGTGAGACCTAACCCCAAACCCCTGCCTCCTCAGCTATCAGACCTTCCCAGCGCTGGTGCAGACTGCCCAGGGTCCCAGCCTCTCGTCTCCCCTGAGATAGGTGGCTTATGTGGCTGGTGCCTGGATACAGGAGCGATGAAGTGGGGCATCCTGGGCTCTAGATCCCTAGCTGTGGCCTTGCAGGTTCCCACCTCCCTGAGGTCTACAGCCCAGAAATGAGGCCCACCTGACCAAGAGCCCCCATCCTGGCTCCTTTCCAAGCCCAGCCACAAGCACTTGTGTGTGTGTGCATGAGTTTGTGTGCTTGTAAGGCACACAGACTGGACCACTACTCCTAGCTCCTCAGAGTGCCTTTTAGTCTCTAAACCTTAAAACCCCTTCCCCAGCCTTTCCCCTGCAGCCCTGGTGACCTGTGAGATCCCAGTGCTCCCTGCCCTGCTCTCCCAGGCCAAGGATCAGGCCGAAGCGTAGCTGGGCAGCCAGGCCTTCCTCAGGCCTCCAGAGTACTCTGTGCCTGCTGGAAGGTAATGAGCTGAACACCGCTCTCTCTCTCTTGCAGTTTTGTCCCCAGTATTAACCCAGGCCTGGCCAAAGCTCCTGGCCATTGTGCTGGGGGCGATCACAGGCTTTCTGATTTTCACTGGGTTCTGCATCTTCTGCTGTGTCAGGTGCTGGCGCCAAAGGGTGAGTGAGTCTCCCCAGACCGCCCCCTCCACACACACTGCAACAAGGGTACCCTGTCTATGCGACTTGCTTCTGCCCTGTCTCTCTCTGCCCACCACTGAGTTCCCTTACTGCAGACTGGGCTCTGTCCCAGATCCCAGGGAGGGAGAAGCAGGGAGGAGCAGAGAGTTAATTCTGGGACAGATGGCTCAGGCCACAGTATGTGCTTCTCCCCTCCCAGCTTTCCCTACTCCCTCCTTCAAGGGGCTCCCTCCCCTCTGGAGGCCAGAGGCCCTCACAACTTCCCTCCTTCTTCCCGGACAGCGCCAGGCAGAGCGGATGTCTCAGATCAAGAGACTCCTCAGTGAGAAGAAGACCTGCCAATGCCCCCAGTAAGGAGCTAGGGGAGGGGGGAGAGAGGGGGTGGTGAGAAGGGGAGGGCTGGAGGGCAGGAGAGGGAAAGAAGAGAGGGAAGGGAAGAGGACAAGGAGGGAGGAGGGGTGGAAATGAGGAGATGGGGACTAAAGGAGGTGGTGGAGGGGAGACAGAGATACGAAGGGATGGCTGAAGAGGTAGAAAGCCGGCAAAAGGCTAAGGGGTGGGGGGGACATGGCAGGCAGCTGTCACCCAGAGGCCATCACCATCCTGGTGGAGAAGAGGGGTCTGGGAGCCATGGAGGTCCTAGAACTTGAAGGAGCTAGGGAGGAATAGCCTTGCTCCTCTCATTCCTTTATCCTCCAGCCGATTGCAGAAGACACGGAATTTCATTTGAGGCTCCGGGCCAGGGAAAGCTTCCCACCTGCAGCCTCCCCAGCCATCTACTCTGCGTTTCCTGTTGGGCTCCTGGACCTGTGGACCAGATGAATGTAGCAGATCCCAGCGCCTCTGGCATCTCCTGCTCTCTTTGTCCACAGTTGGTTATTGGGTCTCCTCTTCCAGAGGCTTACTCACACCGCTGCTTCCTCATTCCCTGTCCAGTCAAACCCTAGCCCTTCTTTGATTATTTTTCTCAACTCTCTCTCTCACTGCCCACTGGGATGCCTGGGCAGCATGCAGAACCAGCCCTGCCTGGCCAGGAGTGTGAGGCTGGGTGTCTGAAGCACGAAGCACGGGACTGTTATTTTACAGGAAAGAAACTTGGGACCAGAGAGGGCAGGAGCTAGTCCAAGGTCACACAACCAGTCAAGGACAGATCCAGATCTAAAGGCTCCTGACTGCGCCACTGTTTCATCCCACACACACCCATGTGCACGGCTCTCACTTGTGCACAGACTCAATTCCTTATTACCCAAGCAACACACTCAGTTTATAAACCAGTTTCAAGTGCTTTGTATATTTAAATCTTAGAATAATCCTACGAGGTGGGTGGTGACAGGACCACGATTATCTTCTCCAGTTTATAGACCAGAAATGGAGTTCAGAGAGGTCATATGATTGCCCAAGGTCACAAAGCTAGTAAGTGCTGAGTCAGGACTGGCCCAAACCACTTGACCCCTAGTTCTACTTCTGTTTCTCGAACACAGGAACAAATACCACACAGATCTCTGTCACTGGCGAGTCACAGATGTGCAGTGTGTACCTTAGGATTCACAGGAGCATAACGTCTCAGGGAGGCCAGGAACATGGAGAACAGCCTCCCCGCCTAAAACCCTTCCTTCGTCCTCTGCTGGAGGCAGAATCCTGTTACCAGAGAACAAACCCTGCAGCTCTCCTAATGGGAGCCCAGGCTGGGCGCCCAGGCCCTGTGGGGGGAGAGCACCCAGTGACCAACCACTGGCCCAGTGAAGAACCTCCCGGAGGGTGAACTTCGCTCAGGGGAGGGGCTGGGACACAGGCCTGAGAGTGAGCCTGAGAGGACCTCCTGTGAAGGATGCTAGTGCTGGGCCGGAGGCCCCTGCCCTGTGTGCTTCTTCACAGGGTAATTAAGGTTACAAGTATTCCTCCTCCTCTCGATCCAGTTCTTTCAGGAATCCCTAGCCTCTTCTACCTCTCCTTCCATTCTTTTCTCATCATCTTGTTCAGTCCCTCTGCCCTTTCCCTTTCCCTTTTTTCCAGCTTGCCTCTTCCAAGAAGAACACCCAATGGCTGCCAGAGCTCCCCATCGCTTGCTTTGTATTCCTGCCCACTTCCAATCCCTAACCCCCTATGCTGACAAAACAGATAATAAACCTACTATAAAGATGCTCTTATTCATGTGTGTGTGCGTGTGTGTGTGGATGAGAGAGAGAGAGAGAGAGAGAGAGAGAGAGAGAGAGAGAGAGAGAGATGTGTGTGCAGACTCTTCTCTGGGGACCCAGAATCTTAGAATCTGTGGGGTTAGTCAGACCCAGAGCAGAAGTGGCCAGGCTTGCCCCAGGAAGGAGATGAGGATCCTCTGGGGAGGGAAAAATTCTTCGGAGACTGATTACCCACCTACCTACCCACCAAGGGCCCTGCATGTGTGTGTGAGGCTAAGACTTTGTAGCCACACCTGCGTGAGGCACTGGGGGGGAGAGCCTGTAGGGATGTGTGTGGTGGAGGGCAAGGACTATAAGAAACTAACGTGTGCGTGTGCGTTGAGTGTCTCCCCACGAGTGTGAGTTTGTATTCCAGGAGGTATGTGCGTGCGTGTGTGTGTCCCTGCATCCCTTTAGACCTCTGTGTCCTCACCGCACAGCAGCCTAGCTTCAGCACCAGCGCCGCGCTGCTCAGAGTCTCGCACATGCCCCTCTGAGGTGCACCTAGGCACAGCCCTCACACAGACGCATGGTGACACACACACGCTTCCTCGTCCTGGAACAGCTAGCTCCTCAGTCCCCGTACACCACCAGCTGCCTCTTGGAACTTGTGTGCATGTTGAAAACGGGATAGGGTGGGGGTAGGACACGAACCATTTCACCAATGAAGTCGGTTCCCCTCCATCTTCCTCGCCCCCTCCCTCTCGGCGCCTTCCTTGTCCCTCCTCCTGCAAGTCACCACCGTCCAGTTCCCCGCCCTACACTCATCCCCCTTCCCCCCAAAAGCTTTCCTCTGGCCCTTAACGCGGGGCTCAGGGGCAGGCGGACTCAGGGAGACAGGGGCTGGGGGAGCCCCGGGGGACGGAGACGGAGTGCGGGCGGGCTGAGCGCAAGAGGCTGGGACCGAGGGGAGGGAGAGCGGCCAGGAGTGGGGGAGGGCGGAGGAGGGCGGGCGAGCGGGAGCAGGCGGGCCTTGTCGGGAGTGCTGTCTCCATGGCAGTGCCGGGCGCAGCCGGAGGTAAGCCGACCCCTGCCCTGTCCCCCCGCGGTCCCCTCCCCTCGCCCCCGTCCCCACCCCCAGCTGCCTCCTCTCCGCTCCGACCGGCCCCTCCTCCCCAGCCACCTGCTGTTTCTACCCTGGAGAACCCGGTGGGCGGCACAAGGGAGGAGCCGCCTAACCTTACCCCTTCACCCCGAGGGGCGAAGAACGCTGGACCCCGTATCTGCCCTGGAGCCCCCCAGATGCCCCCTCCCACCTTCCTCTGATTTTTCTCTGCCCTTCTCTCTGTCCTTCAGATCCTTCCTGCCTTCCTCCCTCTCTGACTCCCCATCTCTTTCTTCCTGAGCCCATCGGCTGGGCCGGGGTAGGGGTGGGTGGGAAGGGGTTCGAGGTTGTTGGGGGCGGGGGTGGGGTGGGGAGGAAAGTGGGGGAGGCGCTCCCGGCCAATTCTCTCCACCTCCCTCTGGCTGGCCATTGCCATGGCAACTAGGGTGTACTGGGCTCCAGAGAGAAGACAAAGGTTGGGGGTGGACTAGGACCTCTGGAGGAGGGCAAGGGTCTGGGGCTCTTACACAGGAAACAGACCCTTCCCACTGCTGTGCCCCATTTTTCCTCCCATTTATCCCAAAACCGTTCTGCCCATCTTCCTGCCTCCACTCTGTTTAGGGTTGCACCTGATTTCCTCTTAGCCCTCCCACCCCCACCCCAGGGCTTACTGAAGCTCAGGGTCATGAAATTCAGGACTACCTTCCCTCCCATCAGGGGGAAACTGAGGCTGGGACAGGGGAGGAAAGACTCAAGGTCTACTGGTGGGAGTCAGCACCTTATCATTGAGCTTCTCTTCTCTGCCTCCTTATTCCCTGCTGCCTGCCTCCCTCCCTCCTTCCAAACCTGCTCCCTCTGAAGCCTTCTCTCCAGGAGTCTCTGGCCTTTTCCTTCTATTTTCAGATACTATCACTTTGCCCCCTCTTTATTTCTCTTCTGCGAAAATTCTCCTCCTTCCCCTTAGTTCCCCCTCTTTCCATTTCTGGATGCTTCTGATGTCAGCCGTTTCCCCGCCTTCAGGTTCCCTAGTCCCCCCTCGGCCCCAGCCTCCATTCTCCCATCTTCCCAGATTCCTGGGGAGCTGATGGCAGTCATGCAAGTGCGGGGAGATGGGGCCGAACACCAAGGCCACGGCCCGGGAGCCTGGAAGTTTGGGGAGGGGCTGGCACACCATATCCCCGCTTATTGTGACCCCTCAGGAAGAAACAAGTCATGCCTCTGCCATCAGTAGCTCTGAAGAGCGATTCTGGGGCATGAGGATGGGGGTTGAGTAGCACTGAACAGGAGACGGGAGAAGAAGGAACCTGAGGTGCCAGAGGGAGGAAAAGGGCTGAAAACGAATAGGACACAGGAGGTCAGAATACCTTCTTTCCTGGAGGTCTGGAAAGCATGGCTCTTAGCTTGTCGGGTGTTTGAGCCACCATCTGATTTAAGGCAGGATAATGTTCTCAATGACCCCATGAACCCTAGTAATCAGTCACTTTTATAGTTTCAAAGGGAACGCAAGATGCCAGTTGGAGACCAGCCTACTTCGTCTGCCCCCTTCCACATCTTACCTTCCCTTGCAGTTTGTCCAGGTGGCTGAGCCCCAACCTCACACCCCTCGTGGCATCCAGAAGATCCCTCACCGACCAGGCAGGAACCAGAAGACGAAGAGATCTGCAAGTCCGAGCATGGGGGCCAGAGCTCCCCAGCCAGCCTCATAGTTCCGAAACCAGCCAGTCAGTCCCTCCAGTCAACTACAGGGATACTTCAGGAAGGGTCCTACCCAATATGGAAGCTAAGGACCACCTCTGCTGACCCCCAATCTCCTCCCCTTCTTTCCACACCTGAGCTTAGCTGAGTCAGTCAGGCAATGCTGAGCAGTAGGGTGGACCTAGGGGCTGCCTGCTTCATTACAAGGCAAGGACTGTGGGCATCATGGGAGTGTGTGTGAGCGGGGCTCCTGGGTGAGACCTAGCCCCCACCCCCAGGAGTTCAAAGGGGGTGGGGGGCCAAAGATAGGATGGCTCGGGGTGGGGTGGGGCCAGAGGAGGCCTCCCTGCGCTCAAACGCGTTGTCCTGGCTGGCCTGTGGGCTCCTGGCCCTGCTGGCCAATGCCTGGATCATCCTCAGCATCTCTGCCAAGCAGCAGAAGCACAAGCCATTAGAGTTGCTGCTCTGCTTCCTGGCCGGCACACACATACTCATGGCGGCTGTGCCCCTCACCACCTTTGCTGTGGTGCAGCTCCGGCGCCAGGCTTCCTCTGACTATGACTGGAATGAGAGCATCTGCAAGGTCTTTGTGTCCACCTACTACACACTGGCCCTGGCCACCTGCTTCACAGTTGCCTCACTCTCCTACCATCGCATGTGGATGGTGCGTTGGCCTGTCAACTACCGCCTCAGCAATGCCAAGAAGCAGGCTCTGCATGCTGTCATGGGCATCTGGATGGTCAGCTTCATCCTCTCCACACTGCCCTCCATTGGCTGGCACAACAACGGTGAGCGCTACTACGCCCGAGGCTGCCAGTTCATAGTCTCCAAGATTGGCCTCGGCTTTGGCGTTTGCTTCAGCCTCTTGCTACTCGGGGGCATTGTCATGGGGCTGGTCTGTGTGGCCATAACCTTTTACCAGACACTGTGGGCCAGGCCCCGGAGGGCTCGGCAGGCCCGGAGAGTGGGGGGTGGGGGTGGGGCCAAAGGGAGTGGGCCAGGGGGCTTGGGTACACGGCCAGCCTTCGAGGTGCCAGCCATTGTGGTGGAAGATGCCCGAGGGAAGCGGCGGTCCTCGCTGGACGGCTCCGAGTCGGCCAAGACATCCCTGCAGGTCACCAACTTGGTCAGCGCCATCGTCTTTCTCTATGACTCACTCACAGGGGTGCCCATCTTGGTGAGATTGGGGTCCCTCCTCCTGTTCTTCCCAAACCAGGCCCCAGCACAATCACCTGACCTCCAACTCCATCTTCCCCTCTTTTCCCCATCCCCACTCCATTTGCGGGTCTCCGTCTCTATCATCCATCTTCCGGTTCCCGTTACCCCCAGCTCCATTGTCTGTTTTCCAGTTCCCACTACTCAATTCCATCATCTATCGTTCAGCCTACTACCTATCCTCTATTGTCTGTCCCAAAGCTCCACTATTCAGCACCCCAGACCTATTATTCAGTTGCTTAGCTCCGCTTTCCATTTCCTAATTCCCTCTGGATATCACAGCGTCTCTGAGCACTCCTGGGTGGAAACCCCAGAGAGCTCACCCCACCGCCCCAGCTCTTTGCATCCCCACCTGGTCCCTATTCCTGAATTTTTGTGTCTTCAGGTTTGCTGTAGTACTTCTGCTCCTCTCCCTCGGGACCCAGTGCTTCACGCTAGTACTCTCCCCTGACCTCCTACTGAGTCAACCCCTTCTCTGTCTCCACCTCCAAATTTGGTTTTGTCATAATCCGATGCGATCAGGGCCATCCCTTCCTACTTCTTGTCCACCAGCTGCACTAGGGTATCATCGGATCTGGGGTCAAGGGGGCCCCCTGCGCTCTGGGCCCTAACCGAGCGCCATTCCCCATCCTCCCACCAGGTGGTGAGCTTCTTCTCTCTTAAGTCGGACTCGGCTCCCCCGTGGATGGTGCTGGCTGTGCTGTGGTGCTCCATGGCACAGACGCTGCTGCTGCCCTCCTTCATCTGGTCCTGCGAGCGCTACCGCGCAGACGTGCGCACAGTGTGGGAGCAGTGCGTGGCTATCATGTCCGAGGAGGATGGCGACGACGGTCAGAAGAGTGACCGGGCTTTTTTCCTGGGCATCGACTCCCGTTTCTGCCCCGTTCTACCAGCCCTTGTCTGTGTGGGGACGGGCTGCCCTAGAGTGCCCTCTGCTGGACAGAACGGGCTCTGCCCCTGGGCTGACTCCAGGTCCCCTTTTCTCTAACCAAACGCCACGACGTAAA